TGGGGAAGACGAAAGGCCAAATGCAATGAGAGGGCCGGCAGTGGTTTTTCCGCGGGTGTAGATTCGACTACGGATTGCTTTGATATTCGTAATGCGTAAATATAGAATGAATCTTGATGTAGACTGCGCAACAGAGTTAGCGCAAACAAGACGTCGTCGCTTTTACGTCATCAAACAAGAGATGCAAGAGAATCAAAGTTCGTCGCTCAACGTGAAGCCTCAAATGAGCTCTTTGCGCAGGACTACTGGTTCTGGTGACAACATTTTCATTTCCGGTTCAAAAGTTTACCTTAATAGTCGAACCTTGTTACAAAATTTAATCTAAAATTTTTATGCGTACCGGAGACAAAATCAGGGAGATTGAAATGTGTTCTTTACGTTTGTTGATTTTCTTTTCTTGACAGATTGTTCATGCAATATCACCGCGAGCGCAAGTTCGCCATCCAGTCGAGCGCAATTCCTTACACGCAGTACGGAAGGCTGATCTAGGTCCAGTTGAAATACATTCATAAGATGTCGCGAAAGATTATTATCACCCATTAGGGCGCTTCCATTTCATTTCCGAAAATCATTTAACCCACCCAATTGTCTCCTTAAAAAATAATTCATAAATACAGTTAGAAAATTGCGACCTTTTCATGCTGCTCGCTTTCGTAACTTCTTTTTAATCTCAGAAAGTATAAGTTCGAGCAAATAAAGCGTACGTTCAAGTCACCGCAGACAAAAAGATTGCAGTCGAGTACGCTTGCGCCACAAAGCATTGGTAATTAATTTTTTTTTTACTATTTCTGTTTTGAAAAAAAAAAAAAAAAAAAGAGAATGTTTCAACTTCGAAATGGGAAAACGATAGGCTGACAAATTTTCGTCCGGCGGTTGTAATTCAAAACGCCTGCGACTTCTTTTTTCTACATTCCTGCAGTTTTCTTTCTTTTTTTTTGTGTGTGTGTGTGAATCATGCGGATTAGTAGTCTAAAGAAATATAGATTGTCGGACAGAGAAAAATGCGTGTCTTCAGCATAAAAGACAAACTTGTACGAAGAAACTTCTCACAGGAAAGAGGGGAGTTCTTGAGCTTATTTCAAATTGGATGCAGTTTCCCCTCCATTTCTAGGTTTAAGAAAAAGTCCCCCTCCGCTGCCGTGAGCACGACCGACACGACCGCCGAACGAATTTCGTTTATGTGGATTGTACCTCTGCGATGGTCTTTCCACATGCCGTCGCTTCCTTCCCATGCTTCCTTACATACCGAGTAGATTTCGCGACGCAGTTTTGGAGCGGGCCGGGTTCTTGAAGGTTTCCCTCGCGTGGTAGGGCCGAATGTTACGTCACTCTCAAGGGGATCTTGGAAACAGTTTGTAGGGCACACTTTTCCAGTCTGCAAGGAACGAGGCGCGTGCATGGAGTGCTTTTAACGGGATGAGGGTCGCTGCCACTAGTATACATTTAGTGTTCACTAAGATATAATCATCGTTTTTGGGTGTACGATAGGAAAAAAAAAACGCTAAGTAAAAATGAGGTTGTTGCCGAAATAATTAACAACAGCCTACTGATGCTCGTTTTTATTTTCTTTATTTCAACGAGAGCTACTCTAAAATAAACGCAAACTTACTGCTACTTCGATCATCTGTATGGCTTGATACAAAGCACAGGCGAAGTAATAATAGAGGCCGCCTTCGTATAATTTCATTAATTATGAAAGTGTAATACGCATATCGCAGCGTGTGTAGCCAGTTTGACGCGGCTAAGTGCCGTACGCGGTATGGCACGCAGATGTTAATGTGCGTCCTGTGCATAAATATTTCGTTGAAGGCATATGTGCTACCTGAAAGAAATTTTGAAGGCTGAAGAGCTTGCGACCCTCAAGGATTTCTGACAATTTAGATTCTATGTCACTATATTTTCTCATTGACAAAACTGGCTAAAGTTTTATCACTTTATTAACAAAAAAATCAGCAAGAAAAAGGGAATAAAGAAGAAAGAAAACCGACGTAGCTAAGTCGGCAGCCTGCTTGGCTCCAACGCAAGTGGCCGGGGTTCGATGCCTGCCACCGCCCGTTGTTTTTAACTTTCCCCTAAGTTAATATAACATTCTAGAACGTCATGAGAATAAGTATTCTGTCCATGCACTGTATAGTTCCTGAACAATCGAGACCGAATGCTCTAGGCTTCCGGCTGCACCGCGCCGTGCAGGGTCAGTCTCGCCCCAGCGTTCGTTCTCTCAACTACGCCGCCATCGACACCTGCTACGTTGTCCCTTCTTTTTTTTTTTTTTTTTTTGGTCCGGCACAAGTTTGTTACATTAAACGTTTCTTTTCTGTCTGCTCATTCGTCGCCTCATTAATTGTCATTCGTGACAATATGAACTCACGCACATTGAAATTAGGGCTAGACACTTATTCGATTAACCTACCGGTTAATTATTTGGTGTTTTATGATTAAAAATTTTAACCGGTAAATTGATTAAATGTTGACTAACAAAAAAAAGTAAATTGCATCACTTTCCCCACAAGCAGACGTGGATGAGTACACCTGTATAAAGGCAGACTTATGGTGAAATCTCGGCCTACAGTAAACTATAGGGGCGAGGTTTGTAAATCCAAACAAGGTGGAGAAGGTTATGTGTGTCCCAGCGACTTTAACGCCGTGCGAGTGTTCGTTTAGCCCAGCAGAGACACTTGTGAACAAACAAATCAGCTCGCCATTGCGCATAAAAGATACCAACGAAACTCTCTGCTACTGCGACTGAAGTTCTAATGTGTGAGTATGGCTGTCTTTTGACTGTTCTCAACTACACTTCAGGGTTGATTAAAAAAACACAATGAAGACAATTTTATATAATTTTTTTAAATGGTGTTTTTAGGCTTCTTGGGCACCTAGCACGCTGCCTAATTTTTTTGTAGATATTTGTGACGCGTATTTTTGTGCCTACGAAAGTACTGAAGAAACCGAAACTGAACCATCTCCATTCTCATTTCTGGGCCTCCGAAAACGGAGGTGACGTAGGGAGTGACGTCAAGTGTGAATAGTCGGTATCAGTGGTATTCAGGAGATCGAAACTTTGGTTACCTCAGTGGGTTATAGCAGCGCAGTCGTTTCGTCGAGTCTGTCAACATGGACGACAGTGCAGCTCTCGCGAGCGAGTTTCCGTTCAGTGACCTAACACCAATGGGACGGGACTACGTGTATGACGGCGTTCGCCATCACCCGACGGAGACCGCCCAGCCGGCAACGAGCGGCCAGCAGGCTCCGGAGCAGTGAGCAACGTTCGCGCGGGCGAGCCGAGAGCTGCGCGTTGCCGAAGGACAGGGACGCGGGGGAGATGCCGAGAGGAAAGCGGCAGCGACTAAGCCGTTCCGGGAACCGGTTCCTCCGCGGGGGGTCGCTCCCCAAAGAGACAATAAACAGCACCATATTTGGTTTTCACGAAAGTCGTTTCGTCGTCAAAGAACACGAACAGCAACCTACACGTGAAAACTAGCGTCGCCCGAACGAAATGGTCTTCAGTCGACCGTTAGAACAGCCATCTACAGCGCACACATTTAGCATGACTACCATTTTGCAAAGCCCTTCGAGTACCGTGTTCTCAAAGTAAACACGACACCGACATCTTATTTTATTTTGTTTGCCCATAGTTGCTCGTTGCCCATTTTGCGTCCAGCGTAGCATAGAGAAAAACAATTATGCTGTTTTATTTAGGGTTTAGTAGTCATTTTCGGTCTGATTTATACTCTTCATGGTTATTCAAGCGAAAATTAGAGCAGTATTTCTAAAAAGCGCGAACTAAAACGTAACCGAGGGCACGTCTCTCGTTTCGACCAATCGCTGACTCATCTCTTGTGACGTCGCTCTTCTTGGCCCCGCAACAGTCACGTGAGCTCCGCTTCCCCTGGCTTCTCCCGCAACTCTCGGGGCGTCGCTACAGTCCATCCCGGCACGATTATTACTGCGACTGTTTAAATGATTTTCGCGGCACACAAGCGCCGGTTTCGGCTAAAATTTAGGCAACGTGGCCTGAGACGTGCCTGGAACCCAGTTCAATCGCCAAAAAAATATCCTAAATTGCCTTTATTGCCCCTTTAAGATCTCAAATTGTCCATTTCTCCGTTTATCATATTTTTAGTAAAGGCAAAAAATGCAATTTTTACTTTTTTGTACTATAGTCTATAATGCATGGCAATGAAGAAAATCTATTAATTAATTAATTGACCAAAGGGTGGTGAATCGAAATAACTTACGTTACATTGAGATCAGCCATAAGATGTTGCTTTTCATTGACTGTAGTAAAACTATAACAAAAAACGTGGTAAGTATTAGGTTACAACTTGCAAACGGTAAAAATCGGAAGTCGATGAGTTAAGATTTTTAATAGCGCTTTTTGTTTAATAATGAACGGGAAAAACACAAGTGCACCAGAACTGCCAATTTCTCAAGCGGGTGGGTGGAACAAGAGGACGAAGCTAACGTACAAAAATCAAATATTGAACAACGCACATAAACGGCAGAAAATAACTGAGACATGTACAGCCTGGGCTCTTTGATAGAGACATAAAATATGAATACGTAAAGCTCTGACAGCCTCCATCACGCGACATCGTGTGAGACAGGAATAACATATGAATGACATGAGCCGTGTATTCGCGAAATCCTGTAGCCCGAAAAAAAAAAAAGAGAAGAAACATATCCGGATCATTTGAAGTACTCATGTTTTCTATCCCTTTCTCTCCCCCACCGCCCCCCCCCCCCCCCAAAAAAAAAAAAGAAGAAAAAGAAGCATTTAACAACCATTAGCCAGTAGTGTTTTCTTACGCTTCTAACAGAATTATAAGCGCAGACGATCCTTCAAAAAAAGACTGTCGGTTGAATTGCGTAAGAGGTAAGCTGCAGGGTTGTTAATAACAGTGCGTGAATCATTTTTGTTTTTCTTTTAATAGGATATTATTTCGTTTAAATTTGTTCTGTTTTTTTTTTGTGTTTCAGTGATGAAATTGGGGTTTGCCACTTAGAACAGTGTCGCTATCTCGGAATAAACCGAAGGTTTTGTGGCTTTGGCATGCAAAATCCCTCGGTGTCGTAGTTGAGGTCGACTGTTTTGCCATCCTCCGGAAGGACCGTGAACTTTTGAAGAAGCCTTGCAAGGTAAAGGAAGACCTCTAAATTGGCAAGGTTTTCTGCGGGACACATTCGTTTTCCTGAAAGGAAAAGTGAAAGTTAGAAACTTCCATGCATATAGTCATGTGCTCTAATGTTTAGTACATAACGTCTTCGTTGTACAACTGACACTTGATGATCAAGTGTCAATAATTAGAAGCACGCGGTAAAACTTGTCGCCCTTATCACGTCACGTTCAAAGTTTTTTTTGGTTCCAATGTTTCTCAATTTTGTATTATATTTGTATATGCTGTACCAAAAACATGTTGATGTTGCATTGTTGTATTTCTTCAGGGTTACAACGCTTCTGGCATAGATGCACTGTCTTTATGAGTAAACTTGCTGTTAACGTTTGCTAACGTAAATATTATCGGAGCATTATTGTAATCATTCAACAGTTTTTTTCACAATATTCTGCCTATAAACGCAATGTAACATCTGCACACTTGTGATTTTCTAGAGTAGTGGTTCGCAGGAGCTAAACCAAAGACTTCATCAAGTATTATTGTGACCAGTTTTCAAATATTTATGTTTTCGTCCCGATGACAACCCCGCTTGAAATTGCTCGCAAGCATATAGACCTTTTCACCCTCTGGCGCGTGGGGGCCGCCATCTTTGAATCCCGTGACGCGGTCACCATAAGGTGGCTTCAACTCGTCACTCCGCTCTCCCCTCCTTGTCTAGGTGAATGCATTGTACCCTTGTTTTTCGTCGCGCTTCACCGGGATTGTTTTTTTTTCTATGTAAGATGTCGTCTCATACTTGTCTTTACTACCTAATTGAATGTCATCATTTTGTGGGCAACCTCTGCACTTAATTCTATATCATATTTTGACTGCTTGCACCGTCAGCGCACCGGACACGTGTGAGAAGGCTAAAGGAGGCACATGAATCAGCGTTAGGACTAACGTGCATTGATCATGTAGATGCATTTTAGACAGTACGAGGGCTAAGAGGTCAACTACTTATGACAAAGCAAGTTAGCTCTAGGAGGCTAGCCGAACAGGCGCCGCAAGGTATATATATGATCGCGCATTTAGGATCTTAAAGAGGCATAAAAATAGTAAGCGTGAGGTGTTACTATATGCGTGATTCTTGAAAGCATCGCGCTCTGTTTTCATAAGAAACAAAAACAATTGCTTTTGATTATATAGTAGAATGGTTTTTGCTTTATAAACATTTGCTTGATTTATGCTTTTTGCTTTATAAACATTTGCTTTTTGCTTTATAAACATTTGCGGTTTATTTATATATTTAAAGAAACTATTAATTGAACTTGCTCCCAATTCTGTAGTAATTGAAGTGGTTTAATTATATTATGATATCCACTTTAACTCCTTTATTTAGATACGAAGGGGAAAAACCGTGCCTCCGTGGATATCCCCCGAGCCGCCTGCGTGGAAACCACTTGAGTGCAGTGTATTCGATGCTGGATTTAATTTCTACGCTGCTGGTAATAAAAATGGCATCTCTTCAAACGAGAAAGGAATGTCTACACAGACTCACGAGGTGGTGCCTGACATTCGACTTCATCTCGGCTTGACGGAGATCACTCATTTTCGCGTCTTTTAATTTTATTTAGCAAATTTTATGGAAGGCAGACGTTACATTGACGTCTCTGTCACGTATCTCATGTCCTGAATACGTCGTAAGAACATGACCGTACAACAAATAGTTCATTTTCTAAGGTCATCATTGTGTATAATGTTAATTATTGCTTTAGCTGGACGATAGTTGATAAAGCTTTCCTATTCGGATAAGGATGAACAATCAAAACGTTTCTTGAGTGTTTTTTTTTAATAGTTGGAGAAATCATTGCTTCTTTTTTACATTCTATGCGCCACTACAATTTTCAGTTGGTGATGTTCAGAAAACGTCCCTGTCCTTGAAAATCAAACGGCGAGCACTAAACGTGCGAGTTTATCTGTTTTCTTCGATTTAGCGCATCGCTAGTCAGGTTGTCAACCTGCCTTTTCACTACGCCTCCAGGCATTGGTATCTTCATTAGTTTATTGTTTCTATGGAAACTTGGTGTTAGCGTGTACGTCCAGCACGTCCCTAGAAAATGTAATCCTCCTCCTCCCTCAGCTGAGTCGTTTCGCCGCCGAACCTGGCCGAACGACGCATATGACCAGATGAAAGTTTTCGTAAACCTTCATCAGTAACAGGCCCAGTACCGCTGTGTCGCTGGTTGCGTACCACAAGAGACTCTTGCTTATCACAAAATTTAAGCGAAAATGACATAACATATCAAAAGAGCCCTCGAGCGCCCTGAAACCGAAACCAACCAAATTGAAGCTACCTGATGGCACCGAGTGCGTCAGCGCTCTCTTTCCGCCGGTCAGATAACTACAGACATCATAAACAGGTCTGTACGAAAACTATCTACTTCTCATTATGGGCAATTCCCATCACTGTCCTGTCAAATCAACAGCTTCTATAAATAAAATGTTAGCAGTATGCTACCAGACGCAACGGGCTGACATTTTTTGAAGTCCCCAATTCCCCGGGATAATAAGTGAAGGCATTAATAGCGGTTGAACTCATCGAACTGGATAGAAAATTGCGTGGCCATCGGTTAATTTATTTTTGATGGGGAAGGGGGGAAAGCTTGATGTAGCCAATAGCGCAAATAGTTTGAAGATTTATAACGGAAGCTGCGTACTCCCACAATTCGACCGCTCGTGCGAGCGAGCATGAGTCATTACCCCATGGCTCGTCACGTCACGTGACGTCAGGATGTGACGTTGGGATAAAATACTCAATTAAAACGATCGCTGCTTAAATATTAAATTCCACGCGTGATTGCATTTGGAAGTAGAGGCCGCTGGCAGTTCTTTAACTTAGCTCGTGTGTTGGCACCGAAAAAAAAAACGTAACATTAGGGACAGTTGTAATGTCTCTCACAAAATTTAGCTAGGAAGTTTGCCTTCTAAATTCAGCAGGTGTGCCCAGTACCTGAAATACGTGACCTCGTGATACCCAAGAACGTAATATACGTCCACATAAGCACGATAATTTTTTTTTTTTACTTCATGGTACATTTCTCAACGTTATCGTGAAGGAGTCTCGGTTTGATGCGTTCTTCTTTAATGATCACACACCTGCTGGTGGAGATTATTTCGGCTTCTTACTCTGTCCGTTGCCAAAGTTCACGATTGTAGTAGCATAGTCGGGATACTAACCCGAAGAAAAGGGTATCAGCCATTCTGGCTTGTCAATGAGCCTCGATCCGTCCTTGATGAGAAACCTCTCTGGTCGGAACTCTTCCGGAGCTTCCCAGAGGTCGGGGTCCATGTGGACTGCCCAGAGATTAGCCATGACCACCGTGCCGGCGGGAATCAGGTAGCCCTGGACGATGACGTCTTCATCCGCTCTATTGAATAGATAGTGGCGTACACAATCAGGTAATGTTGATCTTGCGCGGCTCGATTTGTGTTCGTTTTCTTTATTTTACTCTCTTTTTTTAGAACGCAGCTCTTAGGCGCCCACTTCCGTGTTTCGCGGCGTCGGCTTCGGCGTCGGCGTCGACGTAGCCGCGCTAAATTTAGCTTGAAAATGGGCGTCACGTGACATTGACACCAATTCGATTTCCCGCTAAATTTAGCCGGGAATTGAATTGGTGTCGCGGTCATTTGAGCGGGGAATTGAATTGGTGTTACGGTCACGTGACGTCAATTTTCCCTCTAAATCTAGCAGGAAACTGAATATGTTCATAGGTGACGTGACACCAAGTCATGTGACGTAATTTTCCCGCTAAATTTAACTGGAAGCTGAACTGGAGGAGGAGAAGATGGAGGAGGAGGAAGAGAAAAGGAGGGGAGGAGGGTAGAGTACGGAGGAGGAGGGGGCATACTTTGCCCTCCGTACCCTCCCTACTCCTCCGCCTCAAGAGCTGCGCTCTAATTTCACATTACAGAGAATTGTACACGTCTCTCATTTTAAAGTGCAGCTCTCAGGCGCCCGTTTCTGTGCTTCCCGGCGTCGCAGTCGCCGTCGGCGTAACCGTGCTAAACGTAGCGGGAAAATTGACATCACGTGACCTCAACCCCAATTCAATTCCTTGCTAAATTTACCAAGGAAATTCAGTTTTTCCGCTAAATTTAACGGACAAATTTAGCTGGGATTTCCCGCTAAATTTAGCTTGAAATTTGAATTGGTGTTGAGGTCACGTGACGCTAATTTTCCCTCTAAATTTAGCGGGGAAATTGATGACAGGTTACCTCAACACCTATTCTGTTTCCCCGCTAAATTTAGCGGGGAAAAGGACGTCACATGACTTCGTGTCACGTCACTCATGAACAAATTCAGCGGGCGGAGGAGGAAGAGGAGAGTAGGGGAGAGGAGAAGGAGGGGAGGGGTACGGAGGAGGAGGAGGAGGGGCATACCCTTCCCTCCGTACCCTCCCCTCCTCCTCCTCAAGAACTGCGCTCCAGTTTCGCATTACAGAGATTTGTAAACGTCTTTTATTTTTTATTAAAAAACTAGGTAGTTTTACGTTCGGATAGTTCGGTAAAAGTGATAACTTTTAAGATTTAACACGCCCCCATAGCAAGAATCTGTAGTTTCTGGCGAAACATCTACCGCAAATGTTGATAACCGGTATTCATACATTAGTATGGCTTGTTTTAACCTTCCGAATACATATTTTATTTCTGTTTTTTTTATCTCAATTTATGCATGGTTTTGGATTTGTTTTAAATTATTATCAAACAAATATGTTCCCGGATAATTCTTGAAATGAAAAAAAAAACACAAAACTGCAAGCTGGGCAATATTTTTTTTTATTTTAAGTGATTTATTATTCAAGAGGTTAAGGGGCGATGCGACAATTTTTGTACTTAGCGCAAATACCGCTTGGAACGAATCCCTGACGTTAATGACCCATTAAACACGCGTTCGTTTTTTCACTACACGTAATTGAAGTCTCAGAAAAAAGAAATGAAAGAAAAACGAGCAGCGGTCACCCTCTCAACTCGCAGACAGAACAAGCGGACACGTGATCTGGTGCCGATTATATGCCGCCAATGTTGACCATAGCCACGCGCTGGGTTTGGCAAAGCACAAAACACACGCTGAGTTTCAGACGTTGTTAGGGTTCGGGCATTATCGTCATTGCAGCGATTGGACACGAGCCACTTATGAAATGTTTATCGAGCTATTGATTACCTGGAGCCCAAATAGAGTGCTCACGCAATGCTCGGGTCCAATCTATGAGCCACATTCAAATATCGTCACTGGGAGATACTGCGACCCCGTAGCTACGTTATCAAGTTTTGCGAAGGAAAGATTGAAAGAAAGCACTCGCTTTTGTCCTTGAAGTTACACCTCAACAAAGGATTGTCTGGTCAGTTGCGTTGCGTGCGAGTATACTTGGGTGCCACTTGTGCCAGTAAGCTTTGTAAACTGACAAACATTTTAAACGAATATCGTTGCACGGCACCTTTAAGGCGGAACCTGACATTTTTCTCCCCTGTTCGTCAGTCGCATGTTTGACCGCTTGCTATTTCGTCACTTCTCAAATGTATTAAACTCTTCTGTGACGCTCTTAATATTAATTTAATGATGTTTATTGAGTTGAAAAATCTTCTACGTTAAAAGGTGTCGAACGTTATTTTTATATATTTTGACGAAGTTTGGCATGGTCTTATATACGTGTGACCTACTTAAAATATTTGATTGATCTTTATATCACCGGGAAGTTCGAACATAGCTAATTTTATATCAGATTCAATGTTTTAAACTAGAATTAAAATAAATTTCGAAAATTTAGCACATTCCAGCTCAATTTTCTCAAAAATCACGTCTTTTACTTCGTTTTAAGTTTATCGCTAGCAAGATACGGTGATGTTCTTTTACGAAATATAAATATCATACATATTATTTTGCTTATATATCTGAAAATAAGGTTTGAATGACGATAATGCCTCGAGAAGGGGAACAAGGGGGATAAGGGACAAACACAAATCTGCATACACACCTCGCTTGCATCTTTGAATTAATTGCATTATAATTTGAAGCATTTCTAGGCTTTCATGTTGAGTAAGTAATCATATTCACGCCTCAATATTGGCCACAATGGCACCCTTGTGAGGACGCAGTCACAATGCAAAATCGACAAGTTTCAAACTTTAATTGCGACCACATGAACAAGTTAATGCAGTTTCTATTTTCATTTTCTAATAAACCACAATCATACAATGGCACTAATAAAACATAAAACTAATAGATATTTTAGACTTCGAAGAAAATCGGCCACAAGTTCGTTAAATTATCGAAACGTATGTAACGGATTTTATAATCAAAGCAACGCTGCCCTTATGCCTTCGATAGCTGGAAAACAGTCAGTTGAAACGTTTCAAGCCTGATAGGCACTTCGTCAATCGTTAAACTAGTTTATTTTATGCATATACTGCTGCATATGCATGCAATAAAAGGAGTTGATTGAGCACTTTCTGGTGATATCCATGTCACTAAAATACCTCAAATAGGCAACACGTAAGAACTTGCCAAATGTTGCCGCTTATGCGACTGTCTCCCTCTTGTAAGACACATCACCATAATTCTTTTAATTTCACAAAGAAAAACAAAAAAGTGGCCAACTCACTCCCTCGGCATTCCCATCACGACGATGGTCCTCCAGCGATACATCTCCCAGACGGTGGCCATGGTATAAGACATGGCATGACGGTCAGACCAAGCGGGTACCCTCCTCCCTCCCGTCACTCTGTCGATTTCCTCCTGTACTTTTCGCTGCACCGTGTCCGCCTTGTCAGCAAGACTGAGAAGGCTCCAGAGGATGGTGGTGCTGGTTGTCTGTGATCCGGCAGCAAAAATCGTGAGGGCGTTTCCAATCAGGTTGGACACTGCATTGAAATGCAAGCAGGCAATGCGGTCAAAATGTATCTTCTACGACCACGGTAGAAGAAAAGTGCCTGAACGGCGCCGCCTCACCATGGAGCAGGACCGGCGAAGGTTCGCTCCCATTTTTGTCAAACGCGGCAAGACGGCGCAACATGACCAGGAGAATCTTCAAAGGCATCAGGGCGGCAATTTGGGAGCTACTCGAAGGACCCTCTGTGTTCGCTTACACGTTTACAAGGCCGCGCGGCGAGCGACCACGCCTGCTTGCTGGCCCCTAAACTCACATGCCGCTTCCCGGAGATGTGCAAAACACAAGCAAACGCTTGCCGCCTCCAGACACCTCTTACCGCTCATTCACACTGGAAGCGGATCCGCGTTCGCAAAGCGGTTGCGAACGCGGTTGTATAAAGATCCAGTGTAATTGCACGCGCACTTGATGTCATCGAGTGCGCGTACAATTGCACTGGATCTTTATACAACCGCGTTCGCCACCCTTTTGCGAACGCGGATCCTCTTCCAGTGTGAATGAGCCGTTAGCCTGCTTTTTCCACGTTGCAACTATCAAATTTGAAAACCATACGCTACCACGTCAGAACTACCCGTAGTCATGCTTTTCCACAAAGAATGGGGGTAGCTAACTGTGACCCTTCGTAGAGAACTGGGCGAATGACGTGGCTTAAAATAATTTAGACTATTGTCACTGAGCGAGACTTGTCACGTGATCATGGGGTCAGTATTGCATAATTCATTTTTTAGGTTCATCCTTTTTTGCCTTGCATTACTCGAATGCATGTTTTAATGCTCAAGTGCTATAAAACAGTATACTGGAAAAGAAAATTGCTCCCAGTATAAAACAGTATAAATCTCGCGATCCGTCGCATTCAACGACTTGTGTTGATAGATGGCGATGTTCTGTCCACTGCAGTTCATCGTAGGAACTAAACGGGGTAGATTTAGATTAATCTAGTAAATTGCCTAAAAATACGCTTTTTTAACAGTGAGCATCTCTTGTTTTGTTTCTGTTTTCTGCTTAGTCTTTTGACTCGTTAGAAACGTTCAGAACACAATGTTCACTCTTTGTTATATTTCATTAAAGTGTTCATCGGGATTTACATAAAGTCAGGCAAATAAAAAACAACTAATTCAAAACACACACAAAAAAAGGAAATACGAATCAACTAAATGGTGCTGCGTGCTTAATAAAGTTGCTAGTGCAGCTCGAAAGCTGGATGTTTCCTGGACAGTGTCAATGTTGTCAGGGTGAAAATTCCATTAAGAAATATATAATTGAAGAGGTGAAAATTTGGAGAGGTTTGTTTTTGGTGTGACAAATTAATGTGTTTTTTTTTTCTTTTTATAATTTTTAGTGCGCCAGGATATTTAGAATGCAGATGGACAATTTTTTTTAAAGAAAATCTCGTCGTAAAACAGCTCCTAGGGTTTCTTGGGCTTGTCTATATCTTGCACCCTAAAAGTTTTTTTATGCACCCCCTCAAAGGGATCTTCATGAAAATATTATAAGGAGCTCGTTTCAGCTCCTTCCTTGAAGGGAACGAGTTCTTCAGCGCCCAGTAGCCCTTCTAGTGCGCCAGAGCGCGATAGTGTTTGAGTCAAAACCGTTCTTCACGAGCTGACAGGGTTTTGGGGGCATCAAAGAACCCTTCAAGGACGGATTTTTTTTTCTTTAACTGAAATACAAGGTAAGTATAGGCGTTATTGGCATTATACGCGTTATAAATTTTGGCGCTATTTCACATGGCCGATAAACGTTCTTTCTGGCCACGATACGGCTTAATTGAGTAGACATGGCATTTATGTTGTACACTTCAACAATTCAGCCATACCAATAGGATAGGCTATTTACTCTCGGGACTACTAATAGATTAAAAACACGTTTTGACCAGGAAACTTTAGTGCTCAGTGAGTCCTTCTGGTTTCTCTAAGGTTCTCCACGCGATTCCATTCTGAGAAACATTTAAAAAGTCAAAAAGAACTAACCGCATTCTCGCAGGATCTACAAAAGGTGTCTAAATTTCTTACTGTTAAAGCTTGTATTCGGATCCTCGTTGTGCTCAGAAATGAGCTGCAGATACCCGTCGACGAAATTGTTTTCTCGTAACTTCCGATGTTCTTTTCCACCTAAACCCTCTTCTTGACTGTTGAGAAAAAATTGAATTATCTGAGAATTATTTAACATATTTACTTTATATAATATTTTTCTTTATCTTACCCCAAAGAACCTCTGAAGAAAATGTATTAGATGAGAGGTAAGGTTATATCAAATAAGAGTTCTAATTAACTTTCAAAATTGATTTCAATCTCGAATATTTAAATACGAAAAAACAATGAACACGGGATGGTGGAAACGTTTATACGAGGTCATCAGAGGTAACCGTTTATAATATAGGGCACTTAGGTCAGCTCAAATTACGTATTTACGGCAACTTTGAAACTTGACATTTCCGTAGGTAAGGTTGGCACTAAACGTTTCAGTAACTAATTTGTTTTCAGTTAAATGCTTTTTACGTAATATTTTCGGATAGTACGATAAATCCCGGAATCGTTCCTGGCTCCAATGCCGTGAAACGGGTGGCATATTGTGATGTTGCCTGAAATGGTAAAGGTTAAACATGATGTTGAATTATTTGATGCGAACTAATTACTATTCGAGCACCTCCCTTGTATTTCTTTTTAGTTCACGAGCATAACTAATCGTAATTTTTTCTTTTTAATCTTAGGCTCTAACATGCATCGTTAGAGGTATGTCGAACGGTCGTTGAAATTGGTTCCATTCTCAAAGTGCGGTGCGGATGAATGGAAATCGGGCGAAGCCATTGGCTAAGATAATTTAGCAACCAATATGAGGGTGTATCAGCGTGACAATTTAGGCTTCATTTTGTATTCTCCCCATGTGGTCCCGTTATCCCAGGCCCATGAGTGCCATTTCGCAATTCCTAACCGTACGTTTCAGGTGATGTTGTACTTTGATAAGCTATAGTCGTAATCAGATTATCAAAGTTGCCGCCGCGCTGTTGGACTAAACGTGTACGGCACGCAAGTTCGTCTGCTCCTTGCGCACCTCGTGCGTTTTGTTTGACCCCAAATCCGTCCACGTGCCTCTGAATGCCGCAATAACATTAGTTGCGGAGCTACAACAAAATGCCCACCACTATCAATGGATATTGCAGTCATTACGGTACGAATGCAGAAAAAGACAGCTTTTCTTTTTGATTGCAACATCATTGAATGCACACGCACACACACAAACAAACATTTTTCATACCATATGAATTTGGTGAGCTTCTGAACGAGCGGCCTCAAGGCGCCGAATCTCGTAAAGCACATGGTAGTGAGTGTTCTGAAGCCCCTGGGCATGAAAGTGATGACCGCGCCCGCGGCGAGGCATCTCATGCCGGTGTCGAGAATGCCATCGAGCATCTTTCTCTTCGGGTCGTCAAAGTCGTAACGGTGGCCGAACACGAGGGCGGAAACGTTATTGGACACGCTGGGAAGCAGGTACTGCTCGACGGGAATCGGGCGCCCTTTGACATCCGATATCTTTGCGATGAGGTACTCAATCTCCTCCTGCAAAAGAAAAGAAATTATCAGTCCTGCTTTAATCCACAGGGCAGTGACGGCGATAGCTGCCACACCTTATCTGGCCCTAAGATGTTCTTAGGTTTCTTGCACGTGTGTATCTTGCACCCATACGTAGAGTAACCATCGCCAGTGTTCGCTTGGAGAGTGAAACACAACGATCTAGATAGATTATGCTAGGCGGATACCAGCATAATCACGCGACATCATGACATCAGGTGACGTCATTTGAGATCATGACATTAGGTGATGGCTTCTTGTGTCTTGTCTTCAAGCGCTACACTTTATTTAACAAGTTCAGCGGCTGTCCTGCCGCCGTATTCCTAGACGTTTGGCATGGAATGAAACCAAATATGAAACCTTCGAAAACAAAAATATAATAATTATTTACTGGATTTTATTTATTTATTTATTTACTCGTTGATTTACCCTAAGGGCTCTAAAGGCATCCGTTGTCCGTCTTGTTCTGCCCGTTGTCCTGTTGCACTTTTAACCATTATAAATCACCAACTCGGCAAACAATCCACCCTCGTCAGCTTCTTTAACTTCATGATGGGCTTTCGCCAAAATATTTTTCTAGAAAAATAATTCTTGATTCTCTGTGTGAAATTTCTGCAGTGAACCCAAGCTAAGTATAATTTGCAAGTTTATAAATGCCATAAAATTAAAATAAAATAGCTATATTACTTTTAATCATTCTGCTGGAATTGTTCTTGCGTGTGATGCCAGAGTTCATATTAAGTAGCTGCTTCTTGCGCTGGTTTTTCTGGAGTAAATAAGCAGGAAACTAGACCATGTCCAGCATTAAAAACAAAAATTACTGTTGTCTTTGAAGATATTTAAAAAGCTTATCTGCATGGGCTGTTGTTATATTGTTCGTTTAAGATTATTTGAGAACGATAAAGCAAAAAGGCTTCACCCTGAAAATTCTCAAACCTGCCCGATAGTCACTGCAGAAGATGTAGACCTAAATTAAGCATCAGGGCCCTCCTGATAAAAATGTGTGGGACTGCATATTAGGTACATTAGCTTGTTAACTTGTAACTAAGGCAATTTTGTTGCAGTAAAGTCTGTTTTAAGCGAGTAAAACATTATTTAATTTGAGCACCAGCGTAATCCGTTTTTGTGGTAGCGCACTGTGCCTCACTGCACAACACGGTCGCTTTGCTGGTAATTCGAGACATGCCACATGCATTGTTTTACTGCCTTTTATTCAAAAATAGCTCAGTTCAAGGTGCATGTGGCATGTGGCCTAAACTCTATGCGCTTGGGGTCCGAAGACATGTGCGGTGTATTGAATTACTAGCCGATACGTCCGTGCTGTGTAGTGAAGGCAGAGTACTGCACAACGGAAACCGATTACGGCGGGGCTCAACCCCAAAATTTGTTTTCTCCCTAAAACAAGAATTACTCCCATAAAATTACCTTAGCTAGAAGATTATGAGCTGATGTTTTAATGAGCCGTCCTGCAGGAGGGCCTTGATGCGTACTTTGTGTCTGAATCTTCAGAAAAAGTGAGTTTTGGGCAAGGTTGAGGTTTATTTTCGGGAAACTTGTTTGCTTTATCGTTTGGAAATGATTTTAAGCGGTCATCGGTCCCACTCAGATAAGGATTTAAAATATCGTAAAGGTGAACAGTGCTTTCTGATTTAAAAGCTGGACATGTATCGTTTTTCGCATGTTTACAACAGAAAAATCGAACGCACAATCTTTTACTTATTATGAAATTTGGCATCATACGAAAGAACAATCTCGATGGGGTATGTAAAAGTAATTGTTCTAACCTCACGTGATCCAACATTCTGCTTTCGAGAAAAATGATGTCGCTAAAGTCAGTATGCAATGTAGCAAACAACCATAATTTCGTTCTTTCAAAGAAATTGGCAATGGTCGGTACCACCACATGGGACTATGGCATGGAATGACCTTCCTGTCGTTCGACCTTCTCCGAGTATGTTGTGTCGCGCACATGTATGTGTACGTGGCGGCCGTGCGATGGGTAGGTTTTACCATCTTGTAGCGTGCCCGTGGTCAATGCACTGCAAGGATCATTTGGACTTTCGAGAGAACAGGTTTGCTCTCCAGCAACTGGGAGCTTAGGAGTGTGGGGCCCGCAATGTGCACGCTTCTTGCGTCGTGATTCGCTCTTTGGCGTTTTTATTAGCAAATGCCGCAATGCGATTGGCTGCAGCGCGATAATTAGATGCCCTGGACGTGCCACGCGCTGCATTTCTTAAGATGTCTGTGAAGGGAGTCATTTTCACCTCAAAAAGACAAGCACGGGTTTGTGCATAGTTTATACGCTGCGTCATATAGCTCTTGGAAAATTTGGTTGCCAGATAAAGTGCAATGCCTTTCTGTATTTGAAGAGTACGTTTCAAATGCGAAATGAATCAATTTTTTTTTTCTGCGCACGGAGGTGTTTTCCTTTGCCGCATAAAGGAGGGAATGAGTAACGTTTCGCGAAGAGCCCATCTTATCTTTACTGCGGTTTGTGAGGGGAAACAAGTATACAGGTTGGATAGGAGTAACTCGCCATATATGTAACTTTATACATAATTCTTTTGAGCAGTGTGTGAACAACGAAGAATATAAAAAAACTGCAGTGACTTTTTACTTTCAGGAACGATCTTTCACATTTGGCGGTTGTTTGAAAGTGAGGAACCTATTTTTTTTTATTTGTCCGGATTAGTTCAATGCAATGAGAGTGCAATAGCACTTGATGGAATTGATGGGATGGGACTAACTCGAGTTAATCGAACCGTAAGAAAACGGAGTGGTAAAGAGGGCTAAAGGGAGGTGAGGGAAAAAGGGGAGAGGGGGAGAGGGGAAGTGTAAGAAATGTCACGTGACGTGAGCTGTCACTTGACATGATCTTCTTCGCTGAATTTAGCAGGGAAACTGAATTGGTGCACAGGTCACTTGAAGTCAGTTTCTCTGATAAATTTAGCAAGGAAACTGTATCAGTGTGTACGCTACGCGACATCAGGTTATGTGGCGTCAATTTCTGCGCTAAATTTAGCAGAAGATGCACGGACGGATGGACGGACGGACGGACGGACGGACGGACAAGATTTTGGGATTTGATGGGAGGGGAGGGGGGATCTGTTTTTTTATGATTTGTTTTTGATTTTTATGAGCGAGACACGCAGTTTACCTTTACGTGAGGTCTCAGTAAGTGTGCAAGCACCCCTCTAAAGCTCGGAAGAGTCCCTGGTGTTTCTTCAGATGTTGTTTCAAGCTAAAAATTTCAAATATCTTTTTTACTTTTAATTTAAAGGCAAATTATAGATTACGTCGTTAGTCTTTTAATCACCAAACTAACGTAATGACTATCTCACCTGAACCTGGGTTTCCATGTCTTTGTGTCCGTACGCAGGGGAGCTGATGAGACGCACGCAATACTTCCTGTTGTCCATCCAGGATGTTCCATTTAAAGTCATGATACCTACAATATTCAAGTTACTTTTAAAGCTCACACTGCACCGCAGCTCGAAGCACGTGGCTCGACAAAATTCATAAATTATGCCTTGGCTCGATTACCGCCTTTGCCCGTTTTGATCTATACGAGCATTGCAGGGCAGCGCGGTCTAGTAATTACTATAGTGATTACTTCAGGCAGTATACTGCTTGAAGCACATGAAATAGTCTATGTTGGCAGTAGCACGGTACTGGCTGAATTTCCCATCTATAGCTCACGCTCGTGTTGCATTAAAAATATATTTTGTACCAAATATTTTGCATATAGATAATGCTTCTTTTATACTATACTTGTGTTTATAGATGTTTTCTTTTGTTTCTCAGTTATGTTGCGGACCTTTTTTTAGCCCACCACTTGCAATAACGCCTGACGGCAATGCAGATTTCTTTGTAAATTGAAACCTGTGTTATCATAGAGACATATCAGTGTTCAAGTCTTGGTCAAATGCAGCACAAAAATGTTCACTCACCTTCTGTGGTGATGTAACAAAAAATACAATGAACTATACTTTTAGTATACTTTTATTATATCCCATACATTCAATATTCCTTCCGTCTACTTCACAATATTAGCGACGTGCGCGATCAAAAGCGTCGCTGTGGTTGAAGATCGCGATTGGCCAAAATACAGCTTCCTGTATACTGATAATGCCTACCCAATTGCCGGTTCAAGGCGAGGCAAAGTCTGCCAATCATGGCAAGGCAAATCCTGATCGTGACGTCACCAACGGAAACCGTGAGAGGGTGCTACCGGAACATCTCGGTTAGAGTTCCTGTATATGCTACCTACGGTAGCAGAGTTGCGCATTCAGCCTCGGCGCGTGGCCGTAAAGCCGGCTTTCCCGCACGAGATGGATGCTTTGCTCCTCACGTGACTAAATTTGGCGAATAGCGGCGCCGCGCGCGCCGCCGCGCATGGAAAAAAGGAGAGGAGGAAAAGGAGGCGGAAAGCAGGGAAACATACGCCGGGGCAAGAGAAACGTCGGCGGAGCGACCGTAAAGGTGGCTTTCTTGCACGCCACCGGATGCTTTGCTCCTCACGTGATGGATCTCGGCGAATAGCGGCGTGGCGGCGCGGGGAAAACAAATGCGCAACTCTGGCTCCCGTAGGGAGCCTATTAGCCCCGAGAGCGAGCACAAGCGTCGCTGCGGTCGCCGCGCCCGGATTGGCTGAGGTGTACTGTGACGTCAGGGCGAGTACTCCGCTCCGCAATCTCGCATCGGCTCGCTTCCCAGCACCGGTTTCCTGGTTTGGCGTTGTGTGCCGCAAGCTCTTCGAGGAGCTGGACTTCGTTTACCTGGTGTGCAAGACGTTGAGTTAGGCCGATATTGACGTGCTTCCGTACATTTTATAAGCCTGCTTGTCCCTTTTACCTTTAAAATTGCGTTACAAATCCCGAAAGCTATCGGCGGAGGCAATTCCGCCGATGAACCTCCCCGTCCGTCCACACGACACGAGGCAATCTTGCGAGAGGTCGGTGAAGCGATGGCGCAAGCGTTTCAGACGCTGGAATTCTGTTCCTTGCACGTTTATGATTTAAGACGATATTACATCCCGCTTTCAAGGCATTTGAAGTGGCATTTATATCATGGGCCTTTGGGTGGTCGGCAAATTAGCTCGCGACCCTGACTCTGCGGTGCCACTCTGCATGCGCTGGTTCGCAGATGTTTTCTTTGAAGTGCTCGTGGAACAGGGCTGTTTTACATAAATGTAGCTTCTTCGTGAATTAATTATATAGTTTATACACGTATGCAGGCATATTTCTTAGAAGCTGCACAATTACTGGAAATTAGTTTGTATGGTAGCAGCAAAAACGGCCGAATTGCCCCCAGTTGTCTGTATGATATGTATTGAACTGCCAAACTATGCACGGCAATAGTGCCGTAATATGGAATGTTTATACTCTTTCCTGACATTCTTTATTCCAGCCTATTCCGAAAATACACCGTTTAGTCTGAATTGTTATTTCCAATTAAAACAGACACTGCTGCAGGTCCCCAAAAGCTTCCTCAGCCTCCAAACTCCCTACAGCTGGACTCTCTGACAACAGAGGAAAACAGGAGTAAAAGCAATCATTCGAACGTCTGTCCAGTGGCAGATGCAGCACTAGCAGCAGAAAATTTAGAACCTGTGAAGGGCGACAGTCTGCGTGAGAAAAGCTTCTGGTATTTTAGCTTCAGGACAATTCGATTTAAGTAAAATCTCAATTTTAGGGCTTAAGGGGCTAATAACGAGCTAGACACCTTCGCTTACGTTTGTTATACATTACTTGAGGTTTGATATAAACAAGTCCACAGATACCACCCGTGTAGTCCATTGAAATACTATCCGAATCCAGCAAAGGTCAAATGCAAGCACTGCATATAATAAATGTTCCTTTTTTTCTTTTTTTTTTTCTTTGCCCCTGCATTTAGGCTGTCTTACTTGTGATTTTTTCTTGATGGCCCAGACTGTATTTAACATGTTGCTCGAGCAGCATGCAGCTTTTCTGCTTCGGCGATCTTTTTTAAAAACAGAGATACAAAAAAAAAACATAACGTGCCAATTTATTCAGACCATTAGCAGCATTTATTGTGCGAGATGTAAATCTATTGTGACGCTCCTGCAATTGTGGCCATATTTCTTTATTTTCATATACCAGCTGTGATTCATGCGTTGCCTGCCCTGTCAGCCATGTTTAAAATGTTGGTTGAAGCTTCGCCTGTAGCTGCAGGCCGTACCTCAATAAAGGTTCATATAAAAATTTACACTTCCTACGAAAAACACGCCAAAAAAATTAAATAGAATCGAGCGCGCCGTCAGCTAGCGTCCTCACAGCCTCCACAGGGCGAGCGGGGCGAGTCAGGGAAAAATTCTCTCCTCGCCGTGACGTCACCCCGGTTTGCCGTAAGGGGGCGCCACGCGAACTTCTCGGGGCTAATACACCAACTCATGTTTACAAACAAACCGAAGCGCCCGGAGCGCCCCTAGCGGACGCCACCGGCGCCGTGCATGCGCGATGGGGGTGTGGGCAAAAAGCTCGCCGTCGCCCATAAACAAACCATTGAAATGCGATGTTGTTGGCCTCGGTGTGAGTCCCCGCGCTCTTTTTCTCGTTGGAATTGTTGATTCTACGTCCTACTAACGATGTCTGACTACTTGAGCGGCGTCAGCGAAATTGACGAGGCTCATTACACCGCAAAACTTCGCGTGAATAATGTGACATGTGGCGATTCATTCCGCGTGGACGCCGCAGTATGTACGCTAATGCCTGATTCACATGTTGAGATTTCGCTCGCAATTTTCAGTAGCGACGTCGCTCGGACTGCAAAAGCGTGAACCGTAGCTGAGATGGTCGACGTCGATACTGAAAATCGCAAGCAGAATCTAACCAAGTGAATCAGGCAGTCGGTGATGGATACTGGTAGCAATGATCAACATCTCCTTGTATCTACTGTTTACGTCGAGCCTGCTTACCAACCTTCAAACTTAAATCTTTTGAGGCCTGCACTCACTTCTTATCGCAAGTGCCGGGCCCACATTTGGTCTGCGGGCCCCCTCTAAAAGAGCAGACGACAAGCAGAGACGTTTGAAAGAGCAGACGACAGTTCGAACGATCAGGCAACCGTTTGAACTTGAAGACGCACTGAACGTAGTCCGCAGGTGGTCCGTACAACTTGACGGTTTTCCGGCGTTCATTTTGGAACAAAACAAATAAATCTGATGGCCAGAAGTATCCGTGAATTCAACCCAAAATGCTTCCCGCCCAAGCTATCGTGGTCCGACGGCGTCTGGTTTTCCCTTTTCACGGCATTTATCCACGTTCTCGGACGAACCGAGCGCATGAAAACTGACCTTCAAACCTTTCTCGACCCTTTTGGTACAGCCCTAGTCGCAGCATTTTGACAAGAAGGCAGGTTTTCGTCTGGTTCCTTTCAAAACAACGCAGGAATACACGTCTCAGATGGGCACTTCCGCCCACAGCCCCGGACCGGAAGTGCGTCCGACGCGCCACCACCGCGCCGTGACGTAACAGAGATGAGTTCGTGTATACAGCAACTCTAATCTCGGTACTAATAGCAATGCAGTACGCGCGGTGAATCCGCTGCAGTAGGTGAGGTGTCCATATAAAAATTACATGGTTTACAAACTTTTAATACGATGAAGATATACTATAGAACAATTTCATATCTATTCAATAAAATTACTTTGAGTACACTTTTGTGTGTATCACTCTTTACCATATGGGCAATGTCAACATTGTTGTTCTTTATTATTCTTATGGTTAGGCTAGCTGCCGTCAGGCGTTGTCGGAACTGCTCATCTGCAGCGGGATCACGCTGCAGATGAGCAGTTCAGACAACGCCTGAACAGCGATATGCCTGAATGGCCAGATGTGGCTCGAGCCACATCATGGCATTCAAGCATATCACTGTGGCAACATCCAGAAGCCGGCACAGCATTTATCCGTCCGTTTCAGTTACGGCAGGTTGCTTTACGTGCAAAGGCTCTTGAACGCACTATTTTGTTAAACGTAACTAATTTGGTACGGTACATATATTGAATGATTTACTCTCATTGCGTTTAAAACTTAAAACTACCATAAGTATCTTCCATGAATTCCTGCATGCAGCACTGCGCAGTTTGCGTTCTGGGAACCAGTTGACTAAGGAACGGAGTAACATGGTTTCGGTTTTTATAGCTTAATCAAAGCCGGTGTTCGTGCGAGACCGTGCGTAGCGCGTGAATCATACACAGCATTTATCTCTGTTTTTTTTTGTGTTTTCCTTTTTTGCTTATGTTTTTGTTTTTTTAATGTCACGAAGTTCCTACTTTTTGGAATATATATTCATTTGCATGTCAAATCAAAACCTAAACACAGTGGCCAATCGGAACCCAAAATGCATTGCATGCATGGACTCGAATCCGGATAAGGTAACTGATTATAATGCAATTGATGCAACGGTGCGAGCGAGCTGGACAGAAATGACAGTAATAATCCCGTGAGAAGGAGAACAAGCGGGACAAAGGACAAACACAAATCTTCAAACACAGCTAGATGACTGGTGCGCGACCGCAAAAATCGGGCTGGTCCTGGTATCTGGCCAAGGACTTCTCCATTTCCCGTGGAACGCTCTACCAACTGAGCTAACCAGGAGTTAGACGTCAGTAGAGCAAACGGGTTTTATCAGCTGCCACCAGTCTAACACCGACAAGGATGAACGGCCTGCGTTTTAAGCTTATGATTATAATGCAATTAATGCAAAGGTGCAAGCGAGGTGGACTGGAATGACAATAAAAAAAATTCACAGGGTTTTTTTTTTTTATCCTTAAGACGACTTGAAGGCGAAAGCCCAAGCGCCGATACATTACGGACCCACAGACATGATTTATTTAATTCACTTTGATTCCTCTTAATTCGTATTTTCATCCTTCTTAATTTCATTGCCTCTAATTCGCCTGAGTTTCCACGTAAACATGATTTCGAACCTCCGAAGACAGCGCGCTCTCTGACGACGCACTTTTGGCGCCGTTAATCTCGCGGCATGTCGCACGCCCGCTCTTCACCGCTGCCCAAGCAAGAGTGTTCTCCCCTCCCGCTGGGTTTGCGCCGAGCGCGCGCCTCCGCCTATTCCGGCACAAGTAACGCCATCTCGTGGTCCTGTGGCAAACCGTGGGTTTTAGGACATTTCGTGTCGCCGACGTATTTTCGCTCAAAGACTGAACGATGAGACAAATACGGCTTTCGCCTTAATGATAATCCCTGGAGAAGGAGGAACAAAGGAGGCAAATGGCAAACACAAATTTCCAGAGATTATTATTGTCATTCCTGTCCAGTTCGCCAGACCTTTGCATTAATGACATTACAATCATAAGCTTAAAATGCAGGCCGTTCAACCTTGTTGGTGGTAGACTGGCGGCAGCTAATAAAACCCGTTTGCTCTACTGACGTCTAAGTCCTGGTTAGCTCAGTTGGTATAGGGTTCGTCTGGAAATGGAGAAGTCTCTGGTTCGATACCAGGATCAGGCAGATTTTTTAAGACGCGCACTCGTCACCCAGAGCCGTGTATACAGAGAGTTTGGTTAATGAGAGGCGCGGGCGGAGCTAGGGCGTGCACCAGACGCAGAAAGTAGGCTAGACATGCTCCCTTGGCCAACCAGAAGCGTAAAAGATTCCCTAGCGGTGGTAGCGATAAACTGTATTGGTCCAAGGTATATGTTGGTATATGGTTTTAATAAGCGCGTAAGAGTGAAATGTAGTAATTCTTTATGGTTGAAAATAGGATGCACGTGATGCTTCGATCATGATCATGCAAAAAGATGCAAGAAACGAACTCGCCGCTCAACTCTGTTTTGCTCGGATAGAGTGTGACCACTCGGACGGCAGATTCCCGGCCCTCGGCGCTTGGCGTACGGATTATGTCGATCGTTTCGCTAGTCACACTCTTGCACCATGATTTTGAATGACCATGGTTGAAACATCACCACCACGAGTCACCACGAGTTACTCCGACGCACTTATCAGGTTTGTTTCTCGCGACCACCGCCAGGGTGTTATTTCCTTCTTCTAGCTGGCCACACTCGAATTTGTGAAGACGCCCTGGAACACGCCCAACCCGTTTTCGGCCACTGGCGCCTCTTCATTTGTCTCCTATACTTCCCGACGAATGGCCAAACCATCTACATATACTGCGCTGCCTTCACCTAGCTCTGTTTGGAGATTAGTGTTTCTCCTTTGAACTCTTTGTTCCCCTTCTCCAGGGACTATTGCTGTCAAGATCTCTGACGAGAGCTGCAAATATTTCATTGGTGGGCGCATCTTTACGGAGTTTTTAAAATGGCCGTCAATATTTTCATCCATGAAAAGTGATAAACGGTGAATGCCCTGACGCAGTAGAACATGCTCACCTGAGACTCCGGCTTGTTTAAGGAAAAGGCTTGAAGTTCTCGCCAATAGCTGTTTCTTCGAAAAAGCTTCGCGGATGCTTTCGTAGGTGTTAAGTATAACCACGTTCACGGCTCCCAGACGGACACTGCCAAATATAAAAGCAAGCTCAGAAAAGCGTACCCATGTTTACACTATAGATCGGTGACCTTGAGGGTTATGCCCTCTATAAAAAAGGGTCGTGCGTCCATATCCCCGTGGAGCACTCCGGCAGCCAATCACAGGGATGGATATAGATGGAGCCTGACGATGCACGACATAGAAAAGTGTTTTAGCCACTAAATTAAAGGGAAGCTACGGAGCTTCTTGGAAAAATGAGTTAGAAGTGAATTCTAGTGTATTTTTACCCCGTGAACCCGAATACCCAAACCATTTGCTGCGTAAGTATTGGTAAACGCGAGAAAAACGCGAAAGACAGTCGCTGTCCGTGACGTCATCGACGGATCTTTTGGCTGCCCAAGGTTAGGGGGGCGGGGCTTCAGCCCTATTTTGAAATTGCTCTTGTGGCTCACCGGCGCGTCGCATTGAAATATAATTATGATATCTGTTATTCTAGAGGCCAAATGAACGCAATTCAAGCGTTTTTTTCTCAAATGTAGAAGTGCCCCATCTTCCCTTTAAGTTTGAACATCCAAGATAAGTCTTAGAAAATGGTGCTGAGCGTACGGTTCGCGACTTGCATGTTTTGTGTATGTGTATGTGTGTGTCTGTGTGCGATTTCATTATTACTACGGTAGCTGTGTTTTAATTACATTATATAAAGTGCTCTATTTTTATGTCGTAAAATACTTGCTACTTGTTAACGTGTTATGTTTTCTCTTGGATTTGTTTCAGCGATTTTATTGTAATAAAATCTGTTAATTAATAACTTTGTAAAAGCCAGGTGTTTAGTTTTCATGGCATAGTAGGTTCAATTGATGCTGGTTACAATGTTTTTCAATTGATGCTGTGATATTTTTCTTTCTTTTCTGTTTCCCTTGTTACAAGTACCTTTCCGCTGCATTGGTTCATTATTAACACCATTGGTGTAAAAACTACAGAGATAGATTAGGAATAAAGTATTTGTGTGATTGACCGATTTAAAATGCGTTCGTCATCCTGAAGTGTTTTTATTTGCGCCAAACATGACGTATGTCAGGGTTATTTCTTTCTTTGGAATCGAACCCAACAGTTCCGTGTTGTTGTTGTTTTTTTCTGCCGCTTTCCGCTTTTTGAGTTCTCCTGATTTCCACTGCCTCATCTCTTCGTCAACGTATTCATCGCTCTACCACACCGGCCGCCCAACTCATTGATAACTGTTTTCCCGACAGTTTTCCTAATTTACTTCACAGGCATAAACCTTCGAAGCACTTGTACTCCCCAAATTACCCCCGCACGCAGTGTAAGGTGCGACACCCGAATCCAGCATTTTCAGCATTTGAGTTCCTAGCAAGATGCAATTATATCTCTATTTGTCACAGGGTTCAAAGATCGCGACCTAAACTTCGTTTTCGAACCCAATTTGGACCAAAGCTTTTTCACTGACTGACAGGGCCATCAAATAAGCATAAAATACTGTTACCTTAAAATGTCCGATATAATACTCTTTGTGCTATGGGTATTCTGCTCAAAGATATTAAAATCGCATCGTAACAACCCTCGCTTTAGCAAATTCACTGAAAATTATCACCTGAAAAGTGGCCCGTATCTGTAAGCCAGGTCTCTGAAGATGATGTGCTGTTTTCTTCGTAGGAAGGGCAGGTACCCCACCAACGGAAGTCCCCAGGGCCCTGGCGGAAACGGAACTTTCGCTTGTGTGTGTTTCCGTTTTTTCTGCACCCAGACAGCCAACGCCACTAAAAGCGAAGTGCTGACCAGAGTTATGAGAAGAGTCGCTGCATCTCGTTCCTGTAAAAACATCCACGTTGTTTTAAGACACTGACGTCTTACTCCGAAGCACGCATGTGACACCCGCGCGAGGATACTATTCATTTGTATGTCACACCTTAACTAAAGCCTTGTCGTCCATATTTTTTAGGTAAACATTTCAATGTATAGCTGCGAGAAACAAATACCCATTAAGTATTAACCTAACGATGTGCTACTAACATGCTTCGAGCCTTTTCATGGGTGTTTCATTTGTTTTTCTGAACTCAATTAAAAGCTTTCTTCATTATTTTCAGTTGATATTGCATCGTTCCACTGCCTCGTTTCTGGCGGCTTTTTTCTTTGAAGTGAACAGTGATGCGGACGCTGCTTATGGTCTCTTAAAATGTAATTAGTGGCATATTTGTACGTCCCGGATTTGAAATAGTCAAATTGTTTGCACTTAATTGCTCTTCGGAATAAGTTTCGAAACGTGTGTTGGCTTCCGTGCAAAGTTATCGCATGTGGCGCAAATTTGAAATAACCAGATTAATGCCACTTAATTGCTCTTAAGAGTAATTTACTAATCGTTCGATTTCTTCTTTGCAAAGTTATCACAAGGGTAATCTTTCGAAACAATCGAAACACCAGTAATCTTTTTCAATGTTTGCATACACCTCCAATTCGTAGTTACATGCTCCTCGTCTTTTCATTACATCGCGAGCGATCATGCTCTGGAACCATTAGCGTTTATAACTGAAAACGATGCACTTGCGTCACCGTTGGTCAAAAATATCAGAAGAGGAAAAAAACAGTTGGGGTTCAGGCTATGAATTTTGCGAGGACAAAGCACCGCGTGGAGCTAAGCAGCACTTGAAGGAAATTTGGAGTTTCTACTTTTTCGCAAAGCACCTGGGAGAACCAAAAATATGTTTAAACTTTTTAGAAAATTTAAAAAAAGCACTGTGCGTCGTAGCACCGAGCATGATGTAAGCACGTCAAACTTCACGCTCAGTGCCACACCCCGAAGAGTTTTTTTCTTTTTGTTTTAGGACTTCAATTTATTTTCGGTCACGTTATTCGCCAAGGTTGCAGCGATTGGCTGTTGCAAGTACATATTGGAGAAGTAAACACTCGAGGCTTCTTTGGGTGCACACAAAGTAAAGCCAATAAAAAATGTTTAATTTTCTTTTTATTATATTTAGGTGGGACAGATATGTTGCATACGATGCCTCTGTTAGGAGCGATAAGTTGGTTCGCTAACCTAATCCCAGGAAGGTGAGTATCAAAGAATGGGTTCTTTTTGGCCATCCACAGCAGGAATGAAACGCGGGGAAGTGTACCAGGCGAAGGGCGCAAATGAGCTGATGGAAGCTAGGCATGGTGAAAAGTACCGTGTTTTCCGTACTGCAGTGCGCGAACCATACCTTGAGCACGTTTCGCAACCTTGCTCTTTAAGTGACCAAATACGTACTTGCAACCGCAGTACGCTGTGACACTTCCAGGACCGCGTCAGCGACAACACCGAGTCTGTATGACGTCGTCAGGCGGAAATCGAAGGACTACTTTGTAGGGCGCGGTAAACACACCCGGCGAGGACGCATTCCAGGCAGCATAATAATACCTAAAGGCTTTTGTAAACAATCGAGCTACCTTACTCTAACGCGTTCAGGTGCTGCGAGCAACATCTGGATAAACAACAAGGAAAAAATAATTACAGCCTGAAACATCACACCGCATCAATATTAAACAATAAAAGGCGTACCTCAACATATACAGTGCGTTCCGCGGAATCCATCTGCCTGTGGACGTCGATCCGAGAAAGTTTATCAAATGACTGGCCTTGCCCAGAAGAGCCGCTGTTTTTTTGTTTTTTTGTGTGTGTGTTTTCTTCAGAACCAGATAGGGCGCTTGCGTCTTGGCAGCTGTCCCGGTCGTCTGAAGGCCGAATTTTTGTACTTTATTATGTCTCTCTAATACAAATGCATGCCTCGTTCTCCTCTGTGTAGTGGGCGGCTCGCCACAAAGCCATCCGAGCCAATCCAATGCCGCCTGAGTATCACGTACGTGACCGCGTGGTGAGCGAGGCAAGGGGGCGCTTAAGTCACGCAATTACTTCACAACGGCTTGATTGGCAGGGTTGACTCGTAACGTTCGCCGCTCTTCGTAGTGAGGTGAAACGGAACATGAACGAGACAAGGCCTAAGGGCGCGTTCTGTGACGTCACTTAGGGGATCGGCCTCGCAGTATCGAAGGAAAGTAGTTGCTCCTCTGTGTCCTTACCGACGGGCGAATATGAAGTTTTCCGGTGAGATTCAGTCGTTTCCTAACAGTCGTAACATTGAGTGTTGTGTATATACATGTTTCCATGAGAACCATCTCACGCTCGATCGCAGAGCCCAACAGCCACGTTTAAGAGTTACGCGAGGGTTAAATTTTTACGAAGCCTCCAGGTCCATAGGGGGGTATTATTAAAACACGAATGGGCAAAAGTACACCCGACGAGGATTACACTTGGGACCAAGGGATTTCTTACTAGATACTTATACCTAATGAGCTGAGCGGAGCGTTTTTTTTTTATATATTCTTTTTGAGCTAAGCAGAGCAGGTGTGTGCAGAGCGAGCTAACAGTTAGTTTGTGTCAAAAAATTACACTAGCTTGATCATGTTGACAGAGACCGGACGGCACATAATGTGTCGAGCTACCTTACACATAAAGTGTGTTGCGCTAGCCTAGCCCCACATCCATCATAGGCAGTCACCATGCGCAACTCGGACATTTTATGCGTATTCTAGGTCAACACATATTATGGCGCCCGGCGTTTTAAAGCAAAGTCATGAGAGTCTAACATTCTGTTTGTAAATAGAAGTCGTTGGATTTCTTCCAGTGTTTAGCTAGAGTGCCCCACGCATATGAATGGAATTTCCAGAACTTCACCTCATAAAGTTTGTTGGCAGAAAAATAAAAAAATTCTACTCTTCAGGTACATTGAGGTATGTTACTTAATTATAACCAGGCCATTTTCTGGCGTACGAACTTACATTTTATAGGAAAAAAGTATACAGGTCGTTTCTAAGGATTGAAAGATTTGATTTAAAAAAGCCGTATAAATAGGATGGGAATGATAATATTTTTTGACAGAAGTCTGTCTGGTTGGGGAAAAATTACGCTTAGACGGAAGTGCTCCAACCGAAAACCAAAAAACGGTTCAGCGCGGCGTTTCCAGACCTGCTCGGTTTCTTCATCAGGGGTGACTAAATCGCGAGGAGCAGCAGCAGATGTCATCTTCTTCTTAGTTGTTTTGGACTTGAATTTTCCTCTTCTTTAAAACATTTGGTTTCTTGTTTGTTGCCGTGGTCAGGTGGCGTAATCCATGTATATACACCATTGGCACAGCACCCAGGGACCTGTTTATGCTTCCCGGTATGTTTTGTATGTTCCAAGACTCTAGGAAAAGGTTTTTCGGAATTGTGGCTCAGTTTCAATTACTTGCGCGTTCGCGAACTCGATTGGATGGTCGTCAACATCGCAGTGTTCCGCGACTGCGCTGCGCTCGCGGTCGAACTTGCGTACGTCGTTCTTATGCTGTGTGATGTGCTGAGAAACGTTCTTCGTCTCGCCGATGTAGGTAGCGGGGCACTTTGCACATGGGATGTTGTAGACCACTCCTTGTGCTCTTGTTTCTGGGAGGCGATCTTTGGGTCACGGCATGAATCGTCCAAGTGTGGACACAGGCTTGTGGGACACTTGGTTGCCTTCTTTTCTTAGAACACACGCCAGCGGCTTCCATAGGGGACGCTGATGCGCGTGATGAACCGAGGCTGCGTGTGTTGTGATGGCTTTTTGTTTTGGCACGTGCGACCATTGCGACAATCGAACGTCCCAAAGAACTCCTGCCCTTTTTTATGAAGAGCAGGAGCTCGTTAACATTTCTGGTACTACTTATCTAAGAGTTTATTTTGTGTGGTCCTCGCTTGGTAACAGTCGGGTGCAGGATAACTAGTCGACATCGATTCTTGTTCCAGTGCCCGAGACTGTGGTACACAAAGTAAAACTTTTATTCAAAGGAAAAGACACAGAAAGAGGGACGTTTCAATCTCAGCTACTTCCTTTGCTTTTTCTAATCCTCATATACCAAGTGATCTAAGGCCGACTACTGCCATCACTGAAGTTCCACGACGAGACCTACAGTGGCAACAAAACTACAGGTTACCAGATATAGAACACCCCCTTGCATCACGAACATTGCACACTTAAACGATACACAAAAAAAAAATAGCCTTTATTACTTCTCTCCTTGTCTACCACCATCAAACTGAGCAACGAATCCAACCTTCATGAAGAAGGACTTGTAGTTTTCAAGACTGGCCTTCAAGAAGCCCTACCCTCTTCTTCGCTTCCTCGTCTTGCTGAAAGCAACATCGAGAAGCAACTGTTGTTAAGTTCGAGCAAGGGACCCTGTTAGATTGAAACGTGTGAGGTTGATGTAAAACGCTCGTGCAATGTGAGGTAAGAGTACATTTGGCTCTTCTGAATAGCCCACCACAAACATTAATATGGCTAAAAGCTGAGATTCTTAAAGGCGAATATATCAACAAATGAAACGCTGCTTCCGCTCGTTTTCTTTTCCTGGTGCTCTTTCATCGCGGCATTCTAATTCGTATGTTCCCATTTGATGATATAGTTAAAAACAACAAAGAAATCTTTCCTCGATCTAACTAAACATTGTAATCAGCAAAATACAAAAGTAACGTCTATGTAACGGTACGTTCCATTTTTTAGCAGTAACGGGAACGAGTTCCTCTTTCTCCGATGGAACTTGTAACGGGAACGCGTTCCAAAAACCAAAAGAACGAGGAACGGTTTTGCGTTCTTCTCTTTGAGGAACGTGAAGAACACTGGTCCTGCGGTAGTATAGGAAACTATCGGCTTGCGTAGTCGGCTTCCGAACAACGAAGCGTAGCTCCCCACGTTATCTCATTACGTTACCGGTCCTAAAGAAATTTAAAAGTGTCTTCAACATTCTGATGAACCCGAGGGTACAAAAGCGCGTCGTGAGTGCAACGCGTCCGAAACCACTTAAAGTATTTCTTAACCAAGCATAGCAAATGAGGCGAGGTCAGGACTCGAGTTTGCTTCTGTCATGTGAAACTCGATATCTAAGACACAGACTTTAACAATCGAAAATGTTCAGAAAAAGGTTATCTGAATTTCCTACGATAGATACTTTGAGAGGCGCTTTTGCTATAATTATAAACATATACTTCAAATGCTCTCACTTTCACTTCTGTCTACCAGGCGATCTGTTCGAGACTTTGTTTTTCTGCACAGGGTTGCTAATGGTGCATTTGATTCTCCGCAACTCCTTGAAAGGGTGAACTTTCACGTTCCTTCACGTCTAACCAGACATTTTGTTTGCTTCTATGTTCATTCACTGTGCAATGCCTCACCTCTCTCTCGAATTCAGTCATTGTATAACGCCATCGCTCCACCCCACCTTTATATATCTGCAGCTGTTACAATGTACCGTCGACACTTGGATAATCTTACATTTGTCTCGTAATTTTTTGTGTTTAGGATTTTTCGTTTGTTTGCTGGTGTTATTGTTTGTGTTGGTGCACCAAAGGGAAGACCAATGTGGTAGTTTTTTGGGCACCCAAAATAAAGAATATTATTATTATCATTCCTATCATTATTATTAATAATAATAATAATAATAATAATAATAATAATAATAATAATAATATTATTATTATTATTATTCCTATCATTTAACTCATTTAACACATAACTCATTTATTTGTGTGTGAAACCCGCGAAACAACTTTAAATTGTGTATAACTGTCTTGTATTCGCGCCTGAGAACAATCAGACTAATCACCACGGGGTCTAGTCGCACAAGCCGACCCTGGCTTCGACTGACACGCCTCGTACGTGCTAAAGAAAGAACAAGCCGAATAAAATTATTATTATTATTATTATTATTATTATTATTATTTTATTATAATGACCGCATCATGCGCATGCGCGAAATTCAGAGCTGCCCGAGTCTATGGAAGGGTCAAGACACGTCGATCTTTTTGCTCGACAGGTCGGCAAGCCAACGAGAATACTCTGCCTTTTCTCAAAATTCAGATCCCTCAAAGTTTTTGCCTAAACTCGCTAAATATGCTTTGGTGTAAAAATGCATCGTAATAAAGGAGATATCATGATCAATGATGCGCCCCAAAACCGTTATAAACCCCCGGGGCACGCGGTTAATTTCACCATCACTAGCTAAAGGGCTTGCAGACAATTTCTAGGGTGGTGGTCGAACGCTTACAGATTTATAAGTGGCTTATATTTTTTTTAAAGTGCCCACGGAGAGCTGCTAAGTCATTTGTGTTATGCACTCAAGTCTCGCTGTGATGAGAGAGAGCAGTAGTAAAAAACAAAAAAACAAATATGCAAATTTTTGTGTGTGTGTTTATACAACCGGATATTAGTCTGCCTCAGTGGGCATCTGGTGTCTCAGCTGTAGAGGAGCAATTTAGCCAGTGCGGTACAACCGCTAGCCTGGGGTCTTTAACGTGCACCACGCAGTAGTGATACACGACCGCACGCCGGTACGATGCATTTATAAAATTGTAAAGCTTAAAAGCTAAAAGCAATAGTAAAAGCTTAAAAGCTATCATAACAAAATGAGAAAAAAAAGTTAAACAATTCAAGAAACGAAGATCCTATGCATTTAATATACTACACCATAGACATGCCCTCGCGCGTAATATGGCCAATCCTTACCGCTCTTAATTATTGAGAAGGTGGAGACAGCAGCGGAAATAGTTTGGTAACGTTTCGCGACTGGCAAGTCTTTCATCAGCCTGTTTAAGAATTAAAGCTTTTTTCTTTTAAGGGCGGTTTAAAAGGTCCGCGAAGACGATTTTGAAAATAAAAAACATACCAAACGAAAAGCATCTACTAAATAAATATCTTGTTTAACGAGCTGACGCAATGAGTTTAAAAGATTTAATCCTTATTACAAAACTCGATAGAAAGAATACATGTATTTAGCTTACAAAAACTTATTTTGGGCATATGCGTGGCATCAAGCCCAAATTACGTGGTGTCAAATATGCCAATAGCATGTAAAAGCTTTTTGTCGTTTTGTATTAAACAATAAATTAAACAATTTAAAAAATAGAAACAGTCTTACCGATCACCCGCTCGTATTAGAGGATCTATATCAAATTATCAAGAACAAATAAAGGCACTTGTAAATCGGGCATCATTGTGAAGAGAATCAATGCTGAAAACTCTCCGTGTTTTTAGACTTCTTGGAGTCAAAATTTACTTACCAAAGGTTCATAATTAAAAACGGTATCCGACCAATCCCTCTGTCATAAAGTTGTCTTAGAAACCTTCTATGAAAACTTTTCTTTATTTTATTTATTAATACTGCTCACCCCTAAGAGGGATTCTCACAGGTATCGAGCATAATATCGCATAAAATATACAATAAAAAGCAAATATTAAAAGAACAATACCGCTTGCCGCTTGGGATAAAGAAGCTGAATTATAAACAATAAATACGAACTCAAGTCGAGGGTCACGGTTGCAGAAAACACGTAATCACAATTTTAAAAAAAGTTACGTGTTTTATAACAATCTTAGCACTTAACCAACAATCATAGAAGCATGTTCTTTAAAGAAAAAAAATTGTCAATATAATTGCCATGGTATCAAACCAGAGGCAACCAATGTATCACACTACCAAAAAACACAATGTGGCACAAACAAAATATCACGCTTCATCGGCGAAGCAATGATTTAATCTTTGATGAATTTAGAGACAAGAGATGTTTGCACACAAATTCAATATTAAATCATGATAGTATTTTGTAACAAGTACAATCTCATTAACCAATGACCTTCAAATAAAGTGATCAGCAAAGAGAAGTACGAGAGGTGATCAAGAAATTTGCTCTCCTAGGAAGTAACGTTTTTATTCTGTGATGAAATTGAAAAAGGTTACATCCTAATGAAAGTTTTGAATCTTCTCTTTTCCAGAAGCACAGAAATTTTCAATATGGTCACCACCGGCGGTGATGCCTTCGGAACCTGTGCAATTCCGCATGCCGTCGTAGAGGCGCTGGAGTAGCTGCAGTTCCAAAGAGTTTTGCCTCATTCCCCTCACCTCCCGGACCTCGCGCCATCAGACCTTTGGCTGTTTACCAAGACAAATGATCATCTGAGGGACACACGGTTTGCGTCCGACGACGAGGTTATCGATACAGCCCGTCTTTGCTGTCATCAAGAGATGCCCTCAATCATCTACGACGGCATGCGGAAAGTAGCGCAACGATAGCGGAAGTGCATCGCCGATGGTGGGCCTATATGAACACGTTTAGTGCTCCTGGGAAAAATAAGATTACGAAAGAATGCATTCGATTGTAACATCTTTTAATTCTATCGCTGAATAAAAACATTACAGACTAGGAGACAAAACGTATTGGTCACCCCTTTATATTCGAAAGCTTATCGCGCGAGACTGTGATTCACAAATGAGAAATAACACCGGTACTAGGCTTAATCATTGTGGGTCACCAAAAGGAAATTGAGTGATGTCTTGTTAATATGAATATCAACCCCAAAATATCGTGCATAGTGTGCATTTTTTATAATAACGAAACAAAAATTCTTTTGTTTCCCCAATTCGTCCCAATAAATATTTCGACATGGTGGTTAATCCATATTAACGGGCTCCGTGCTTACCAGATGACTGTATAAAACTCGGATTACTTCTTGGGGAGTAAGAAAAGTGTCACACTACCGGTCTAAATATAGTCCCGAAGCCGTTCACAAAGAATAGGGCACAAATAGTAAAGAGAAAGCTTGCGTGGTTAGAAAGAAGGACTTACTGGATCAAACGTCTTAGACATGCCGAAGTAGGCAGCATCAACTTAGCCTTGGTTCATAACCGACGGCTTACTGCATAGAATTCTCCGACTGAATGATAGCCGACGAAGGCTACATTGTTTTCCCGAATTCTGGACTTGGTCATTTTCCTCCTGCAATCTTGTCGGAACCATATGAGATTGAATATCTGCCATAAACGTTTATCTGCACCTTTTCCAATGGGTAAACATTTCTACGATAAGAATCCACAATTCCGTCACCCTTTCGTACTACAGCTACACAAACGTTAGGTGGATAGTTATTCTTAAAAACACTGTTTTACCCTTGGCAGGTGGAGAAAATTTTTCTGAAAAGGCGGTTTACAAACAGGATTTTGTCGACAAATAAAGATTGGTCGCTGCATAGGTTTACTACGCTGCAAAAATTTCTGCTGAATTACGACCACAGATGAAGAAACGTACACGGGCTCCTGCCGCACAGCAATGTCAGCTGCGCAAGAAGCGAATGCCCGTCGCTCGGAGTCCCGTAGAGGCTAATGTGCAGCTCCGGCCTTTGCAAAAATGTTTATTGGAAAACTCCGTCGTTTCTTTTGAGCCCTGTGCGGTTTTCTACATCTGATGTGCAAAACGCCGTTCAGCTGCATCCTAAGAAATTTAATGAATGCACCACCCTTGAAGCTCTTCACTTTTTTTCACTTTAGCAGAAAAATTGATGGAGATAAGAAGAGGAAAAAGAGGGAAGCCACCAATGATCATCATCGGGGCTTCGTGAAGGGAGTTTGTACTCAATTTCCTATGTGGCAACAGACAATAAAAATCACAATATGTTCGTTCGGTGCATTATGATTCACCGGACTGCGTATTTAGATTAGAAATTGACGTGAAATCAATTTGGAATGAAAAGGTTCGCGTGTTTTTTTATGCATATTAAATGTCATACATACATTTTTTTTTCAATATTCATATGGGTAGATAGTAATTGTGACTATACATTAGGTTTCATGGATGCCTGCACGTCGCAACTTCCAAGATTCCGACAATGCTACTGAACCCTGGGGCTGCAGACATTTTGCTGATATATCAAACTTCTCAATAAACAGCACCGTTTTCGTTTGGACGAGATGGCACTTCTTCTTGAACGCGGTTTGGTGCCTTAGGCTTAATGCTGCCATTTCTTGGAATGAACCGAAGACGTTGTGACTTTGGTATGCAAAATCCTTCGGTGTCGTAGTTGAGATCGATGGTCGTGCCATCCTCCGGAAGGACCGTGAACTTTTGAAGCAACCTCGTTAGATAGAGGAAGACCTCTAAGTTGGCAAGGTTCTCTGCTGGGCACATTCTTTTTCCTAAAACAAAAAAAAGGGTTAGATTTACTATAAAACTTTTTATTTTCGCGGCCCCTATTTTTCGCGAATCGGTCACGGAAGACATAATCGCGGCCATTAAATTTTGCGAATTCCAGGCGCCTGCATTGAAACTGTTAAGAACCGAAAGTAAAGTTTTGCGTGCCCCTAAATTTCGCGACTTTTTTCAAAATGCGAAATTCGCGAAAATTAAGGGCTCGCGAACATTAAGGGCTTTACAGGATTTAAGCTAAGATAAAACTTCGAGACGCAGTGTGTTACACCTAAGTCTAGGTCCCATAATTGTATTTGAGCATTATGGACGCCGTTACAAACACTTTTGGCAACCTGCAACGAGAGAACAAACTTGCGCCATTTATCGGAGAGTCCTGAAACACTTCTAATGTGCGTATATTTTACGCATAATACTTTCATTGTGCCCCTGAAATAATACTGACAATGCTTCGAGAGACAACATATCATACATGGAGTGTAGATGTAATGTCGGAAATTTTGTAAAAGCCTTCAATCTAGTTATACGCAGATCGCAAAATGTTCCATGCTACCTATAGATGGCACTACTGGGCTAGCCTCTTCTCTAGTCGTGAGCTGTTACAAGCGGATGAAAGGCGGTCGATCACATTCATCCACAAATGCGTCAACCTGCCTTTAATCCGTTACCCATCAGTGACATTGAAAAATAAAATGTTCATGAACATTCGACATGCGGGGATGAACACTTCCTGCTCCTCTGTTACGTTTTGATTCTTCAATTGCGGCGCCCCGAACGCGACTCTGACTGGTGACTTTACCGCGTCTAAAAAAAGTAATCCCTCGATTTCAGGTTGCTGACGTCATAGAAGTTTGACGCTGTCGCCGGTCGCGATCCTGGCGGTGTCCCAGCAGTGGTGGTCAGTGTGGCAGACGCCAGTTCTTCTGGAGGTCGGTCTTCAGCTGGACAGTCCACGGAAGCTTCGACACCCAGCAGGTGTTGGGACGCCGCGACGACAGCGACACTCGCGTTCTCTGGTGAATTTTGTTTCTTGTTTTCTTCCTAACTTTTACACCCCACCGCCACGATCGCGGCATCCGACAGCACGACACGTCGACTTTCATGACGTCATTTGTGGCCACTTTGGGACCGCTTTCGATGCGTGAGCGGAATAAGACGCTAATCAAACCAGTCGGGAACGCTTTTCACACAAGAACATCAATGGCTCTAATATTGTTGTTGAATATTCGTTGATTTCTGGCCGAAGCAATGTCGGCCTTCTCTCATGATGTTGATACTTATCCTTGGCGATTCCTCTATCACTTCCTAAGGGAACAAACTCTTTTACAGAAAAGCTTGTTGTTTCCGTCATGACGCGCTGACGTGTATATGTGGGGTGAGATTCTTGTGGTAGGGCACTAAGAAACAATTTTCTTTTACAACTTATAAACTTTTAGCTATGTCTAGGCTTCTTAATAAGCCACGCGTGGCATGCGTAGTTCTGCTGTAATTTGTATCTCCTGAAAAACCCACATTTTCATGTCGATACCGGCATCGCGTTACAACTTAGACAAACTGCAGCACTAGAAAGACATATTTAGGTTTATTTTTAAAATAATGTAATAATGCTCGTAAAGGGAACTAACTCAAAAACGCCGAGCATTGAAAATATTTGCTGCATTCCTCGAAACGACGCTGTCTTCCTTTTTCAAGCCGTCATAATAAGTTGAAGCTGACGTGAAGTGTTAATTGATGGATGCACTATATACATGCATATACGTATATTTTTACCACAAATCGTTCAACCTTGCCGTGAGCGATGCCTAGTCTGGCTAGTTATTTATCAATGATTTAACTGCTGCTGGCCATGATTTAGATTTTTTTCTTTACTCTATCGGTTGCCGCAGTTTACAACGCCTTACATAGTCGAGATACCTACCCACTGAAAAGGGCACCAGCCAGTCTGGTTTGTCGATGAGCCTCGATCCGTCCTTACTGAGGAACCTCTCTGGTCGAAACTCCTCGGGCGCCTCCCAGAGGTCGGGGTCCATGTGGACTGCCCAGAGATTAGCCATCACCACCGTGCCGGAAGGAATCAGGTAACCCTGGACAATGACGTCTTCATCCGCTCTGTTGTGAGAATAGTAGAATTGTGGAGAGAAAACAGGGAACATGGACTTGCCATCGTTAATAGATATATGAATGCATTCGATGGAACGTCATGTCACGGTGTCACGGGACCTGACGTCACGCAACGTGGCCCTCGTGCAAACATGACGTTACGTCACACCGCGACGTCAGGTGACACCAATACGTGACATTGTAACGTCAAGTCACGGGGCACCATGTGACGCTGTAACGTGAGGTGACACCATACGACATCGTTTCGACACCTGACGCTGGGACATCACGTAACACTGCGACGTCAGACGACACCATCAAGTCACGACGTCATTTCATTGTGTTACCTGGCGGGCAACACCAGTAGGAGAGCGCCGCGACACGAGAGCGCGAAACATGAAGCCGCACAACCAGTTGAGCGCGCGTTACGCGTGAGCGCACTTGCGCGCCGTGGTAAGTGGCGAGGATGGTATTTGCAATGCCGTGGTCATACTGCTCATACCATCATACAAAAAACTGTCTGCAAACACGAGTTACCGCAACATCTGTAGTTCGAATGGAATGCCGCGTGCCGAGTTTCTCTTTGAAATCGTTGTCATTCGGCATTCGAAGCACGGATCTCGCGGCAACTCGCGTTCGAATCTGTATGCAGACTGCCTTTTCTATGATATATAAGCTGTGTAACCTCTCCCCTTAAGAGGTCCATATTATTCAATAAAAAATGCACCATTCGAGAGGTCGTGTTCTGCCGGCTCAATGCAGGTGTTAAGACAATCTTGCTCGTGTTTATTTTCTTTTTATTATAAACGGTTTTTTTAGAAACTACGAATACGATGATATCCCGCGTATTCAAAATGAAATATCGACCTATAGTTTTATCAGTCAAATTTTATTTGAGAGTATATGCTGCCGATTTCAAGCATCCACTTGAAAATGTCTCAAAAGTAACCCAAGGTATGGCCATAACCAGATTGTGATGCGAATTATGGACAAATAAACAAATATGGCTATTAACAGCCCAACTGACTAACCCTGTCCCGACACGTTCAAGAAAAGGAGAAAAAAATCCTGGCCAAAATCGTGCCGCACAAATGGTCCCATGCAGAAAAGCGCTCCGAGATTAATCTTAGAGGCTATGGTTGGATTAAGCCATATTTCCAACCCGTTCTACAATTACGCCCTACGTGCAACTAGAGTTGCCAGATAAAAACAAAAATGAAGCATTGATCGGGTTATTACAGCTCACCCGTCGGCTCCGATAGTGTTCTCGTGACCCGCGCTAAACTGGTTGAGCGCTTTTCTACCGCGCGCTTTAATACCACGCACTCTCGTGTCACTGCACTCTCATGTCGCCCGCTCTCGCGTCGCGCGCTCGCCCGGCGGCGATTTCGCGTCCTGCGCTCTCGAAGCGCTCTCCGAAGGGCTATGCATTTCGATCGCTTTAAAGAAATAATATGTCCACAGATAGTTTTCGTAACACTAACGACGAAAAATGTGTCTGTCCGAGATCTCAATCAAAAGTAAGTTTGCTTTAGTATTCAGTGGTTTAGCTAACAACCGTATTAAAACCGCTTAAAAACTAGATTTTCGTGAATCGCTAGGTAAAGCATTTTAGAAATTTTATAAGAAGCTGGTTAAATATTGCGCAATTAAGCCACACCTTCGAAAGTTCTTATAAATTTACTGAAACCATTTGGATACAAAAGAAGAAAACGTTATACCGGTATTTGTAAATGAAATTAAGTTAATGTCTAGATTTTTGTAAATGCCACTAGTACCAATAAAACAACTGTTAAAGTTTTTGTAAGATTTAGACAAATAGATCGTACATTCGAGTTTTCTGGCTGTAGTTAGAATATTTCTATGCATAGCGGTTCAGTCGAGCACAGTAAAAATTGTATCGACAAGAGACCGGCCATCTTAAACAAGCTGACCTTTTTGAGATCTAAGCAAGCCAGTAGACTCTTTTTCAGGAGTTTGTGTCTAGTAGCTGCGGCACAAAATATCCGAGTTCGCCATTGTTTGGGCAGATACTCTGAACACGCATTGCATACGAGTACTGCGTGCAACCGGCAGTTTTACTGGAGAAAATTTTAAAATGGATATATTTAAAAAGTCTCTCCTCTTAATTTGCTTTCTTGACAAAAAGGCAGACTTCATCATTTCGATAACATTGCAATGATGGTTCTGGTTGATCGTAAAAGAGCCTCAAACTCACTCCCTCGGAACTCCCATCAGAACGACGGTCCTCCATCGGTACATCTCCCAAACGGTGGCCATGGTATAGGGCATGTCATGGCGGTCCGACCAAGCGGCGGCCCTGCTACACCTAGTCACTCTGTCGATTTCTTCCTGCACTTTTCGTTGCACAGTGTCCGCCTTGTCAGCCATGTTTAGAAGACTCCAGAGGACGGTGATATGAGTCGTCTGAGATGCGGCAGCGAAAACCGTGAGGACGTTCCCGACCAGGTTGGGCACTGCATCGGGTGGCGCGCAAACAATGTGGTAAAAAAAAAAAAAATCTTTTCACGTTTGAGAACAGAACACTTCAAAAGCAGTAAAGCTCGCCAAATCTATTGCACCAAGTCTCCCAGCTATTAACCAACACCCACACATATTTGATATTGTGGAAAAAAACGAGTTCGTGGGACCTGTACCAAAGGAAAATATTATATTTTTAATATCAACGTGAATGTCTCATCAAATTGTATAGCCTTTTTTTTTCAAGTCTTTTGTTTGTGAGGTGCTTCGCTAAAACCTGTATAAGTTACAGAGCTCTTTTCATGTGTTTTTTTTATTAAAGAAATGTTGCTGCCACCCCACCAAAGGGAGATTAAATACAAAAATTACAAAATATATTTGGAGAACTTCGCGTACGGCAGCGCTTCTATACAGTACACGGTAGGACTGATTCACATAAGAAGCCCGGTATTCAGTATGGTCGACGTTTTCACTATATTAATTTAAAAAAAAAGATTTCAAAATAGATTACAATTACTTATAATCAACGGCACAAGTCATCGCATCCAATTACTGGCTCCGGTGGCTGGGCCGCTCATCGCACGAGCTATATTAAGACAAATGAAGAAATAGAATGTTAAAATGATTTTTGCTTCTTTATAAAGGATTTTTTCTATTTCCTCAAAAACTTTTTTTTTTATTGCCTGTTGATTTTTAAGATTGATTATTGCTGACGTTATGGCACATTCCTAATACACGTCTAATGTCGCGCTTATATTTTTATGTATTAATTACACATGACAGCATAATGAATCTTTAAAAATCAGAAATATAAAAACAATTTAATCTTCTTCAAGGTAAATAATTACTTGATATAATATGCAAAGTATTTGAGCTTGTTAGTTTAATTTCTGTTTTATTTTTTTCTTCTTAATTTGGCATCACGAAGACGAATTTTTTTTATTTGAGGCACAATACGATACGCTATTATGCGCCCATACATACATGGTACATAATAAACACTATATATTTCGATGGGAAACAATATCGTGCTCAGGCAGGAGTTTGACACGAGCCCACATTTGCGCGTAAAAGAGATATACTTTTCAAAAAATACAGATAATGAAGAGCTGGGCAAAAGGCCAGTTTGAAAAATTTGCATAAACGCAAATGAAGCACAGCTTTTGTTTTTCTTTTTTTTTTAATTGTGTTTTGTGCGATTTTAGCTGCGGTGTTGGACTCAGGTGTCTTTTCTGCTTATTTTCTCGATCAAGTCTAAAATCTGAAAAGAAATGTCAGCGGATTATAGATGGCTTGTCGCCAAATCTTACTGTTAAAGCTCGTATCCGGATCCTCCTTGTGTTCAGAAATGAGCCGCAAATACCCGTCGATGAAGTTCCTCTCTCGTGATTCTCGATGAACATCTTCTAAGACCTGCTCGTGACTGTTAAAAAGTGCAATGAAAATTGTGTTGTTTATCGCCGGCTAAGCCAATAATGCACGAAAAAAGCGCAAGTAAGCGGCGCATTCACATTGCCCTGCTGGTTTTGTCAGTAATAACGAACCCGTGAAAACAAAAAGCACCATGACAATGCACTTTTGGCGCTGTTTTTCCTGGCTCAGAGATGGCAGTAATAAAATTCATACACTAATTTCCAAAAAAAAAAAACAGATTACTCAATATTTTTTTTTAATTACTTTTGTCCCAGATGAGAAAGCTCTTTGCGAGATTTAACAAAAAGAAAAAGAGAATTGTTTCGCATGGTGAAATGTCGGGAAAGAGACATCAGAGCATATAAACGACGGCCATCTATGCTTAAAACCTCGTAGGAAAAACACGACAGACGCACAAAGACGGGCTGGAAAGGGGGAGGAGACGAACAAAATCGTTTGTGTAAAAACATGGCTGGGAGGCCACGGCTCGCGAACCCCAGGCAAGGCAAATTGACGGCGTGACGTCATCGCAACGATATTATACTTCGTTCATCCATAAGACGTGTGACTGTTCCAACGAGAACGTAGCTTCCAGCGCACTGTCAGCTTTGGGATGAAGGGCTTATAGTCTACAAGGCGACGGGCACATCACCAATGAGATCAACATGTTCTAAAACCTCAGAGGACAGGTCAGGCAGATCCGTAGCCTTTTTTTCTCTTTCGTCGTCCAAAGTCAAACAGCCGTAAGCTTTAACCATCGTGAACAACAAACGACAGAAATGAAAGTTCATACCAAATGCCTTGTCAAGATCTCGGAACATTTCGTGCGTCACCCTTGGCCCGGTTAAGTAAAGGTACTTTTTGTTGTTCGAAAAGACTGGAATCCAGCAAAGCAGGTGTCGCTCTCGGTATGCCTCTCTTTTTGTGCTTGGGCAGTTTATTCGGGAATAAGCAAGCGAGCAAATATCACCACCCGTTTCTTGGCAAAGTACGCATTTTGAGAAGCTCGCGCCGTTCCTCAACTGGAGATGCTTCTGCCTAGCAAACATCCAGCATATTCGCCCGAATCCAGCCCCCCTGTGGGACAAGGCGCACTAACTTGGGGTCCTCGGGGGTTTGGTAACAATACTCCTTTAGACGAATGACCGGGAATGCGTCAACTACTGCACTTTGGAGAATAGGATCAAATTGCGTCCTTGTCGGAAGAGAAACGTTTCAGACGACGACTCCTTATAAGAACGAGTTCGCATGGCCCGAGTTGACTTACTGACACGAGCTAAAACTTCTTCAAAATCAGAGAGACGGAAACGTATCACCCTTAAACTGATGACCCTTACAGCGAAACCGGTAAGTCGACTGTCTTTGAGTCACATCTAAATAAGATGCTATTGATCCTGTTTAACACTTCTCATTTGCTCCAGCGAAACCACTGTCCAGAATGTTTCAATTTGAGGTCCCTAAGGCTGTTGCGGCGTAAAGAGGAAGATCAGAGTTTTGGTACGTATGCTGCAAGAAAAACTAGCACAAATGTATCGGTAATTAATGTCGAAGCAATTTCACTACGTTTGAAAAGTAATTGTAGTGTAATGCCATTAATTTTAGTCTGCGGTAATTTGTAGTTTGATTTCATTATATATATATATAGTTTTCAGAAAAGTATTAGTAATGCAATTTAATTGCGTATCCGAGGTAATTTTGTCATCTCTGGACTTGCTCCGTCGGGTCGTAGCCTCGGCTGCGGTGGGACTTATGGTGAATTCGAGAGGTGCTTTCAGCGCGTTCTAGAGCGCTCTTTCGAGAGCGCGCCAGAATCGGGGTTGGAAAAACAGCGCGGCCACGTGATCATGTGGGTCACCCCGAGGGCTTCCCTCTCTCCGAGAGCACTCCTTGGCGCTCTCGAAGGGAGGGAAGCTCTCGAGGGGAACCACGTGGTCACGTCGCCGCGCTCTTTTTCCAACCCCGATTCTGGCGCGCTCTCGAAAAAGCGCTCTAGAGCGCGCACACCAAACGAATTCAGTATTAAAGTGAAACGTTAGGTTCGCCCTGCCAGGAGATCTAATCTGGACTCTCGGCGAAAACGTCGGCGAGGAATCCGGAAGCCGTGATTGGCCGGTGTCGCGCTTGACCTTGGCGCCGGTCGAAGGCGGCCGACGAATTCCTCGCTGACTTTTTTTTTTTTTTCGCCAAGTGTCGAGATTAGAGCCCCACATCGGTAGCTCTTAAGTATGGCACAGGTTGAGGCAAAGCGCGTTCGAATCCCGCAATTTGCTGGAGGACTATCACGGATAAGCTGGCGTGCAGCTGAGATTTCGGTTGCACATTAAAAAGATACCTACGTGGTTCAAATGAACAATTTTTCATTAGGGCGTGCCACATACCTCTCTTTACTATGCCGCTTGAACTTCCAAATTTGAGTTGACTGTAAAGGCGCGTTCACACTCTTGCAACCGAGTACGACCGAGAAAGACTTCTTGGGACCGGATGCACTGAGCGGAGCTGGTCCGAAGAGATCGCTAGAGGCTTAAAAACCGGTTTGGTCTCTCTCGGTCGCACTCGGTTGCAAGAGTGTGAACGGGCCTTAATCGTTGCCCTGTCCTTCATAACTATGACACAAGCCCTAGAGAGTCAAAACTTTTTTTTTCTTTTTGACAAATAATATTCGCGGGAAACAAAATATTTACACATACCAAACGAACTGCTTCAGCTTCCGAACGAGCTCTTTCAAAGCGCCGAATCTAGTGAAGTACAAGGTGGAAAGAGTTCTCAAGCCCCTGGGCACAAAGGTTATGAGCGCACCAGCGGCAAGACACCTCATGCTGTCACCGAGTATGCCATCCAGCATCTTTCTCTTGGGGTCGTCGAATTCGTACCGGTGTCCGAACACCAGAGCAGAAGCGTTATTCGACACGCTGGGAAGCAGGTATTGTTCGACGGGAATCGGCCGCCCTTTGGTCTCCGAAATCTTTTCGGCGAGGTACCCGATCTCCGCCTGCCAACAGGAAGGGAGGAAATTTCATTACTACAACTATGGCAGCTTTAGAGGAAAACAAATTTTCAGCCTGCGTTAAGGTCTTCCCACACAAAACACATCTTGTGCCGTGCACGGCAAAATATAGAAACTGGCCACGTTTTTTCGAGAACTATGTTACATTCGGCGAGGGCATCAACCACGCTCCCGTGCGCGAAACAGCACGGCTTTCTTTCTCACCTCCTCGCTGTCATCTGCTCTCCTCTCTTGTTTTCGGGAGGTTCTAGGACTGTCAGCAGCTGCGGAGGCCTTGACTGTCAGTCAGCAGAGCGTGTGAGTGGCTACGTCTTGGGACGTACCTTATGAACACGTTTCAAGGACGCAAGCAATTGGGTGGTCATTCCTTTAAAACAAATGCTCTTAAAGGCCGACGTACAACCTCGATTATCTGCAAGGAAGATAATCCTCTTAGCGCTCCCCCTCTCCTAAAACCTCTCCTAAAATTAAACTCTGAATTCTGAGAAATTGGGAGTCTAACGAAATTAAACTCCGACAAACCCCGAATATCCAGCGTAACATGAACTCCGATAAACACCCTTTGAATTTCACAAAACATAAACTCAGAAAACATGGAATCCTAGATATATCCCTGTCACGCAGTGTGCTTACGTCAAGTACAGTATAAAACGGTAGAATACCTTGTTGTCTTTTACTAGCTGTAATCGAACACTCGCACAATTTTGTATTATATGGGAATGCTAATGTTTTAGCAGTACTTATACAAATTGAGATAGCTCGTGAAATGAGCTTCTATCTAACACACCGGGTCACTCACAAAAAAATAGTTGTGTTTCGGTCACACAAAACTAACATAAACGCTGCTCACCTGAACCTGCGCTTCCATGTCTCTTTGACCAGACGCTGGGGAGTTGATTGCCTGGACGCAGTACTTTCTGTTGTCAATCCAGGGTTTGCCATTTAGAGTCAAAAGCCCTGAAAAATAAAAAGTCACTTCACTTAAAGCCCGGCCAACAAAATGTTTTTCCGCTGGGTACAAAAAATCTCCTCGCCACCCTTCACATCTTCTTCTCTCCCGTTGTTATCTTGACGGCGGTGGATACCTTTTGTTGCTACCACATGTTGGCTGGATAAGCCGGGAGAAGATCCCGGTTTATGTGTCGTTATTTATTATTCCTTCGAAAAGGCTGCAGTAGTTAGCAACATTTATCTGGCGAGGTCCCGAACTTTTACGTGACTTAGAAATAAGAACACCAAAAAATGCGTACGCAGTTTATTTATATGGCCGCAGTAAGTTAAGTGTAAAACAACAGTAGTTTTCTACATCGAAACGTGATTCTGTAAGAGTACAAAACTATAACTATATATGGCTCAAATTCTAGTTAAAATTCGAAAATATTGTGAAAATATAGGGATTCCACCTGCTACAAATGTATACAGGATATTCGGCACAAAATTTGATATTACAACAAGCACAAGTAAGCGAGCAGACAAAAGTACACTATTCAAGGCCTGGTAAAGGGCAGGGTTTTCTTCTATTCCTAGGGATAACAAGTTAAGTGGAATTTGTTGTTGATTTAATAGCACCAAGAGGCTCGTTTAGAGGTACGATTAATAAGCAAGCGCTTGAAAACCAAACTTTTTTTTGTTTATTTCAGATTTTGTTTTGGCCTTTTCGTGCTAAATTATGTTACGTTAAATGCAGTGTGTTTTTGTGTGCAGTAGGTTTCGAAATTTTTATCACTGATGTGTTTGTTCGGTGGTTTTAATATAGAGTTGCGGGGTACAACGCGTCGCACCATTGCCACCTGCAACGCGGAATTGGCAACTCACGCGACTGCCACGCGTAGGCACGGCGTTAAATTTCCACCGTCTCAGTTTTACTTTGGTGGCTCTTATGGGCTCTTTGCACCGCCGGGAAGGACGTACATTGTTGATTTTGTCGTTGCTGATGTTATAGTTGTTCATTTTGTTGTTGACGTTCTAGTTGGCGTTGTATTTGAAGTTTTAGGGTGCCCGTAATCGATGTTGACAGATCCTTGAAAAGGATCGCCCGCCGCCCGCGGAAGTCGAACTTGGGTGCGCGGCGTGCGAAGCGGAGGAATTACCACTAAGCAACAGCTTTTATTATTATTATTATTATTTTAGAGCGTTAGCAATCCGCTGTATGCTTAGTGTTTCTGTAGTACCCACACCAGTTCAGAGCACGTGGAGCGAAAGCTCGCGCTGCAGAACTCAGGATCCTGGGTTCAATCCCCACCCCTGCCCGTTTCGATATGAATGAGCATCGCAGTGCATAGTGCGTGATGCACGTTAAAGACCCCAGGCTAGCGGTTGTACTGCACTGGCTACATTTATTATCTGCTGCTCTGAGACCATTCCCCGTTGAGGCAGACCAAGTTCTGGGCTGGATGACCATACACATCATCAATTTCTTTTCTGTAGTACCCGATGCCCACCGCACGCGCCTTTTTCAAATATAAAGAGAAATAGGCTTTAACAAAATGCCGTCATAGCATTGTCAATGCCAAGAGCTCGTGCAGGGAGGCGCGCTTTCACGCGCTCCGGAAAAAAGAAGTTAGGCAGTCCCGTGTTACTCCACAGTCAAGTCCCAGCAACAACTGCGACATCTCACGGCAAAGTAGTTGGGCATCATCATCGCGTTCATTGGCATTGGAGAGTTTTAGGGAACCGTGTTTTGCTCATCCGATTCCGTGCGATGGTCCTTCCGGTACGAACTGCGCATGCGCAACCACAAAAGACTCGCATTCGCGCAGTTTGTACCGCAGGACCCATCGTTACCTATCGGATCTAAAAAAAAAACGGTTCCCTAAAACCCCCTACTGCCAATGCTACGACAACAATGTTTTATAGACATCTCTTTCTTGATTTTTTTTTTTTTTTTAAGGGGCGCGTGCAGTGGGTTTTGGGTACCGCAACAACCCCAAGTTTAGAGCAGGTTATTAACGCGGTTGGGTCGTTCAAAAGATTTTAATATTTTGGCGTTCGCCGCTAAGTGACCGATTCGTTGTAGAACAAGTTGTGCGTGTGTGAATGTCCACGTGCTTAGTCATTTCTTCTAAACTGGAAATGAAGAGCAAAAAAAAAGTTCTTACGTGGCTTAGTGGTAACGTGGCCGCCTCACACGCAGCGGACCGGGGTTCGCCTCCAGCAGGCGATTTTACTTCGGAGCAGTTAAGTGCTAGTTTCCCCAGTATCGTGTCCGCGGGCAACCTTTCCAGCCTTTCCAGTCTGGCTTGCCGACTTGCGGCCGGCCATTACTTCATTCCCACCATAGTACAGCATCGCTGGTCTTCCTTCTTCACCAGGGTGGAAAGGCTGAAAGATTTCTTCTTTTTTTTTTAAGGATTCGGCAACATCGGCGACGGACGCCCTACATCGCCAGCTGCAACATCAACAACAACGACGACGACTACTACAATATCAACAACAACATCAACAACAAAAAGCGTTCGGAACAAAATGATCAGATGTCTACCTCGTTCCGAACGCTTTTTGCTTTCGCACACAGCGGTGCGTGAACGCGACGCCGGTGCCCCTGACGACTTAGCTGTGTCTGTAATGTGGATTATCGCGGGACTGCTGAAGTGTCTTGTACCAAAGGTTGCTCTTCCATAAAGTTCCAGTTCAACCTTTGTGATCATTATTTGTTATTATCTAGAACAGGGGTGGCCAAGCTGCGGCTCGCGAGCCGCATGGGGCTCTTCACGTGTTACTGTGCGGCTCGCGGCTCCCTCCCTAACCTTCCTCCCCCCCCCCCCCCCCCTTTTCTCCCGCCTCCGTGCCGGTCACACAAGCACGTCCCAAAAAAGAGAAATGGAACGCGTTTTAAATCGAAAGGCAGGTTGCGGTTTGGTTGTCTTGTGCTACTGCTACCTTACGTACAGTTGGACTGCTTTGGACTCTGATAAACTGAAAGTAGTCCGAGTTTCGTTTATTGCTATGGACAAAAATGTGCCTCCCTCCCCCCCCCCCCCCTTCCCCGCGGCTCTTTGAAGTTTCGTGGTTTGGTTTGCGGCTCTTAGGCCGGGTCAGCTTGGCCACCCCTGATCTAGAACATTCCCGAACATGGCCCGTGTATTAAACCAGCCATAGCGTGCTGCTTCGCGTCCGTCGCCTTTCCGTCGCCTACGCAAAATGTACAATCCTTTTTCTAATTTAGTTACAGGCCGGAGCGTACCTCTTTAAGCCGCTATTTTAATTTTTACGTTTGTCTTTTTTTTTTTTTTAATATTCATGACAGTGTATAAAAATAACCTCGAAAAATGGGGGCCCAGCAAGCAGCACCCGGTTACGGTATTCTAGAAAATTCGCATTTATTCTTACCCGAGGCTAACTTTTATCATTCCGCCATAGTTTCTTGTTTTCGAAAGTGTCTGTTCATTCTTACCTCGACGCTCGATGCTCGAATCTTCTCGGCCGAATTTTCGGGATGTCGACGAACACTAGATAAGGCACGGCCTGCGACCTTGTTGCTCGTGTGAGCCTTGCTCTCGCTTCCTGATACAACGCCAAATCGCCGCCCGCTTGTCTGCTGTCTCGACGCTCGTTCTTTACTTTGGCACAAGTTAGCCGAATAAACTTGTTCACTGTTCATCCTCGCGTCGCATTCATTCGTGCCACTATATTACAGAATTTTGGTGCAGCGAGCTGCTATATTTGAAAGCATATTAAAATAATTAGTTTTTGTATCGGTAGTGGAAAGAGAATTGTGTTTTTGTTCAAGTTACACTTAAGCCAACATAAAGGAATACCATAGTTTTGTTTAACCCGAGACTGGGGTATTTCGGAAAAGGGACGAGAATAAAAGAGGCCACAAGGAGGCCTATGTTTGGCTTAGTGTATTCCGGGTGTTATGTTGTCATTGGTCGACTTGGTTGGTGGTGTGTGGACGTGGTGTGTATAAAAGTGCATACGATGGAATGGAATCCTTAGCTGTGTTTGAGACGTCGCCTCCTTGTGGCCTCTTTTCTTCTCGTCCCTTTTCCGAAATACCCCAGTCTCGGGTTAAACAAAACTATGGTTAACTTCCACCAGCTCGCCTGCACCCTTACAATTTTTTCAATAAAGGAATACGTTTTTCTTACTTCAAAAATTAATTTAAATTACTTCAAAACGAACAGGATTTGTATGATCTTTCTTTTTTGAAGGGCCTTTGAACCAGGTTCCCACGAGCTTGAATGAGGACGCTGCTTTTAGTTCCATGTTTAAACATTTTGTCGTAAATGTATTGCAAAACTATGTGTACCTTACTTTGGCTTTTCCTGAATAATACCACGAAGAATAGCATTATTTAATAAACAGAATAACTAACCCACGTTCGCAGGTAAGGTAACTTCTCAAAGTATCTTAAACAACTCCTTTTTCACGTAGAGAAGCTCACAGATAGAAGGTCGTTCTTTAGTTTTGTTTATAACTAAAATCACACCTTCGGCGGGTGCATCTCTACATTCGCGTTTGAATGAATTCCAACTCCTTGGTCATCTAGGGAAAGGAAAAAGGAAATTGGGTTAAGCCTACTTACCTGACACTCCGGCTTGCTCAAGAACAATGTTGGATGTTCTCGCCAACAGTTGTTTCTTCGAAAAGCCTTCTCGGATGCTTTGGTAGCTGTTGAGTATAACCACGTTTACAGCTCCGAGGCGTACACTGCGAAATACGTCACAAAAAAAAAGAGAGAGAAAAAAAATTATAACCATGACCAAATTACAGTCTAGTGATGTTACATGGACGGTTTCCGTACTTCATAGACAACCCTGGTCTTCACGTATTCGTTCTTTTTTGTTTGGCAACAAACACAGTGGTGGCACCCACGGGGTATCCCCGGCACAGTTGCGGTTCACGTATATTTGCTCATTTTTTTGCTCATCATTCTTTTATTATAAGAGTGAATTACGTCTGACAGCGCTAAAAGTAGCCATTTCCAGAAGATAGCATGTATATTTGATTTCGTAAATACTGCAAAATCCACCGTCTAGTTCAGAACCGAAAGTGGTTGGGGGCTATTTGCACACTGCCGCCACCACGTTTAACCTCACGCGAGAAAGAGCGACTGCATACGGAACTGGGCACATTTTCAGGAAGCTCAGCTGTTTTTAACAGGAGGTAAACGTAGCCCAGGTGCCTCTAAAATACCTATAGCTATTTTAGAGGCACCTGGCATAATCTATATATAGATTATCAAATAGTTAAAGGGAAATATAATAGCGTTGGTCCTCGTGATGGGCGGTTGTTCTTGCCCCCCATGCTCCTCTCAGCCTTGAGCTGACAGTGTGGTAGAAGTTACTCGCTCGGTAGACCATTCATACCTTTCATCACGTGATCACGCTCCAGTCCATACCCACACGCAGAGAGCCGGGTTAGGTGATGACAAGGAGTTGGTCGATTGGTCCTGCCAGTGCGTAACTTCCACCATACTGGCAGCTTAGGAGCGAACGGAGTTTATTAGGTTACCCCGGTAGAAACGACTTCTCCTTTAAATGGGGCCGTTTATTAACAAGTTTTATATTAAAATTTTTTATTACAGCTTAAAAAATATTGCTAGCTCTAGTTCAGGTACTACATATTTATATCGTAATTAGCGTTTTAGCAAGCGTCAATTATAATAAGAGTGAATTAAACATTAAGCCGACAGAATACAAAGAAGGACTCGTCTTTCAGCTTCCAATGGCTACACTCTATAGGAAACAAAAAAAAAATGGGATATGTGGCGGCGGCGTACGCCCACCGGTTTCTCGGCGCTCCTTCTAGGGGATCGTTAGACTTTCTTGCATGCTGCCCAAAAAAAAGTATTTCCTTATCAGGTTCTGGGTTACTAGACTCCATAAGGTCATTTGTTGTGGGTGCAAGTCGTTTGAAAGCATGTTCCATTCATTAGCCCAAGCTTCTGTCTTAGCACCCTGAGGCCCCTGGCTTTAAGTCCCCGTGGTTTGTCAGGAAAGATGGAGAACAATCACGCTCTAAGAAACAGCAAGCGAGGGTGACTAACGAAGCTTTTTTCAGACACTTTGCCAATGACATCCGAGGACCGAGCACGTGTGTTTCCTCAAGCCAAATTTGATGCACTCTCGCTTTATCATTGGTATAGACCGCGGTTAAGTGATTCGTTATATTTTGGACGCTACGCTTGCTTTCATGTGTGTCAATCGTACGGTTAAACTCGCTGACAACTGTTTAACGGAAAAGTTTTTTAGAGAAAGTCAGCGTAATTGCAAGCGCAATGGAGCCCCAATGTTCTTGTAGTTTGCACTTTATTACGAGTAAACGGGACATACGTGAGCATAATAATAATAATAATAATATAATAATAATAATAATAATAATATTATTAATTTCTATTTGCAAAACTTGAGGTACTCAAGGTGATTCGTCAGGCTAGGCGGATAGTACGCCTTTAAAAATGCTTCGCGGCGATTCGCTTAGGTAAAATACCTATACGCTCTTTTATTTTTTCATATTTAAGTTTGAAGTAGAGGGGTAGGGAAGCGAAATTTTGCGCCTATTTTTTTGTAGGTGTGGTCTCTTTTATGACAGCAGTTCAAAAACAACAGCCTTTCATCCGTAAACGCCATAAAAGCCATTTTAACCGAATAAAACGATTGTCCAATACCTTGTAGATTGGGGAGGGGGGGCAGCTTCATTGCAATATCTGAGGTCACGGGCGTATCAATAGCAGTGCCACGACGCGGCGTGTCCGATGGAAGCGCCCGGGAACCACAGGCGCTTGGCATATCTCTCAGTTCTATAGTCGGTTGCAAGCTAAGAAAAAAAACGGAAATGCCTCTCAGAAGAAAATGTAATCCTACGCCGAGAAACGCCAGCCAATCGTTTTCATGACGTCACGATTCCGGAGACCAATCGTGATCCTTTTGAAAAAAAAAAGCTCAACATGGCTGCTGGCCTTAGCAACGCTACGCTAGTTTCTCGTGACAATTATTCTGCTTTTTTGCACTGTGTTTTACGTGCCTGAGGTTACGCCACGAAATCTTAATGGTATCGGCTTGCGTTTGCAGCAGTTTTTGCGCGACAACGTGAGAATCCAGCGACGCTATCGCCAACGACAATTTCGAAGCGGGCGCGAGGCTTAGCGCTGGAAGACGGTATGTTAGACAGTATCTTGGACAGAAAATGAATTGGGAAGACGGTACATTAAACATGACTTTCTTTCTTTACTAAACAGCTATTTCGTTAACAAAAACGTATTCTAACTTATTTAAATCTCCTGAATGAATTAAATAAATATTGTAGTAGTTTAAGACACGTTTCCTGGAGGAAGAAAAAGCAACGTTGCTAGCGAACTACTTTCTCGACGGCGGAGGCACTTCAGATGGGCGCAATGCGCTTGTGGGTGGAGCTAAAAGATTGTTCTTAGGTTGCATCCGACTATAGTACTGTATACCTCGGGTATTTACACTTGGCGGGATTGTAACGCGATGACGATAAAGCTGACGAGGGTAGAAAGTTGGTCAAGTTGGTGATTCATAGTGGTTAAAAAGCGCAACAAGAGGACGGACGCGGAAGAAGACACAGACACAGCGCTACTTACAACTGCACTTTATTTCCGTTGCAGCTCGCTATATAATACCGGCAACAACACAAACAACTGAGCAAGAAATATACTTATACACGCGGTAAAAATCATGAAAAGGCTAAAAATCATGCGTCACTCGTCGGCACCCACCTAAATCTAGTCATCTTTGGTCAAGAAACCGCAAGTCTTTATTCGACAAAGATAAAGAGGGTGCGCTGACGTAAAAATTGGAGTACAACCACAATCTCGGCAATGCACACCGAGGTGTTTTGATATAACGGCATCTACGTTGTACCAGTGCTCCCTCAATATTTCATTCCGGCAACGATCAGTCTGCCCCACATAATGACGCCCGCAGGATAATGGGACGGAGTAGACAACCTCTTCTGTACACTCAACAAAGCAAGTGTTGTGCTTTTTCGTGCAGCCGGGTCTGCTATGATGTTCGAAGTAGAGTTTACCTTGTTACACATACTAGCTAACTAGACAGGTGCTGAAAAAACAACGTTAACCCCTGCGTGCAAGCCCACTCTTTTAAGGTTATGGAACACTGTATGTAGGTGTGGTATGAGCACTAGTTTCTTTTTTTTTCTTCCTCTGTACTTCCGCTCTCTGCCTATTTTTATTCTTTAACGTCTTGAGAGGGTTTTCTGCTACGGCTGATAGGAGGGAGACTGAATACACCGCGAACCTGATTGTTAGAACTTTCGTTGATACTGTGAGTGCACGACTTCTTTAGAGCGTTACCGAAGGAAAGATTGATTAGAGGAGGAGATGTCCGTGACCATGTCCACTTTCAGTGACTGTCTAAGGCCCCTGGTGCTAACACATGAAAAGCCGTTGGGGGGGGGGGGGGGGGGTTCATTAGGTTCTTGGGCCTGAGGCTTGGCTTCCGACCGGGGCATGTATGTTGGATTTATGAACCAAGGGGGAACAAGTCAAGCTTGCCACTATCCTGCGGGCGTCATTATGTAGGGTAAGCTTGTCGTTGCCTGAATGAAGGATTGCGGGAACACCGGTACAACGTAGATGCCGTCATATGGCACCTCGGTGTGCATTGCCGGGATAGTGGTCGTACTCCAATTTTCACAGACTGTACTGTGCTAAACAGAAACAGAAACAAAACCCCATGGGAAATACTCGAAGCTCGAGAAATTTCTAGATTAGGGCTGCAATGAGTCAGCGCATCCTCTTTATTTTTGTCCGATAAAGAATAGCGGTGTCTTGACCAACAATGACTACTTTTGGGTAGGTGCCGTTGAGTGATGCAGGATTTTTAGCATTTTTATTATTTTTACGATGAGAATCTGTATATCTTTCCTAACCTGTTTGTGTTGTTGCCGGTAATATATCGCGAGCTGCAACGGAAATAAAGTTCAGTTGTAAGTAGCGCTGTGTCTTTGTCTTCTTCTGTGTCCGTCGTCTTGTTGCGCTTCTTAATCATTATGATAAAGCTGGCGCCACCGAGTGATTGCGATTGTAAGTAGTGTACCCTGGACCATTTATGGGTCCGCGCCGTTGCGAGCGTGACGTCACGGGGAAATATCCCGAGACGCATCGTGCCGCTTCGATGGTCTAATTTGAAGCCCTCGCCCCGCTCGCTATGGAATGGACCTTTTCCACATACCAACGGCGCCAGGCGGTGGCTGCACAAACTAAAAATCGAAGAAGTGACCTACCTGCGCTACCAATCGATACCAGGAGCTATGCTACCAGTTTCTTCGCTCTCCGAGCTGCGGCTCGTGCCCAACGTGGCGTCCACCGAATCGTTGTGTTTTTCCTTCCGTCCGCTTTCTTTTTTTGTGTAACCCAATTATATATATGCTGCAATTACCTGTTCTACTCGCTTATCCACAGGCTCATTCCGAATTTCCTCGATTTTTCGTTCCGACTTCCGCCGCTTGGTATCGGGCGCTCGCGCGTGCGCAGAACGCTTCTCGGAAAAGGTCCATTTTTCGGTTGGAACAAAAAATATAGCCCTCTGCTGAAAAATGCAAGCGTGTTATTATCATTTACAGATATTGTGGATCATATTTCACCCGTTTCGAAATGTTTCGGGGATATATCTAGTTTCGATTCTGTACCCCTTTAAAAATACGCTAATGTATTTTCTGATATAATTATTCGGCGTGAACTCAATCTACGCACCCTAAGCATCTTATAATACTCAAAACAACAATCACGCGTCATCTTTTTTGCTTTTAAAAAGCTACCAAACACCGCGACAAGCCCCTTTGAATGCGAAAGCATTAACTCTTCTATGGAGTGGAGTCGGCGGCGTCTATAACCACGTAAAAACGGCACCTAAAAACCCGTAACCGCGAAAAAGGCACCTAAATCGGCTGAGACGCCTCTTATCAAATGCTTTGTCACGGTCAAAGGTCAAAGCGGACGCGCCTCGAAAAAAAAAAAAAACACAAATAAAAGCACAGCAACGGAAGTGCCTCGTCAAGGAGGCCGGCGGGTTCGCCCAAGGTCAAAGCGGACGCGCTTCAGAAATAAAACACAAAGAAAAGCACAGCAACGCAATGCTTGGTCACGGAAGCCGTCGGGAAGCTAACAACGTTCGCCGCCGCAGTGGCGGGCCGTGATGTCACCGCCGCAGCGCCGTCTGCGATAGAAGGCGTGCCGCGCTGCTTGTAGAAATGCGTAGCGTGTAGGAATGCGAAAGCATTTTTACGAGTAAGCAGTCTTAAGTGTATCTGCCGATTTTTTTTATTAGATATCCCAGATAAAAGAGCGTGTCACGGTGTTTCGTCGCGTCTTTAAGGGAGAAGAAGGCCACGCGTGATTGTAGTTTGTTGTTTTCTATTATATATACTTAGAGCGAATAGGTTGAGCTCGCATTATAAAAAGAGAATCTTAAAATCCATTTTAGTGCCCTTCTAAGCCGTTTGCAGACCATTTGTTTACGACCTAAGCAAAATATTTTGCATCAAAAAAATTGTGCGAGACATTTAATCTAGTAAAACATATAAAATAGCGCAACAGAAAGACAAAGACAAGAAGTATACAGGTCATCGTTCGCAGAAGTATACTTCTGCGACCGATGACCAGGAGTTCTCTCCCAGGAAGGGAATCGACTGACAGTGTGGTGGCTTCTTTCAAGGAAAAAGGTCTTCGACTCTTACAAGCGGACAAAGTAGCGCCTGTCCTGTATACTTCTTGTCTTTGTCTTTCTGTTGCGCTATTTTATATGTTTTACTAAGATGAACCAACTAGCCCAACAACGTACCCTACTAAACTACATTTAATCTAGAAACACACCTTTGCTTCTCAATCATTTGACTGGACATCCAAATGTCCCATCTGTACTCCCCCGGTAGTATAAGTTCGACGAAAATCCTCACCTTAAAACTGGTCCGTATTTGCGAGAAAGGTCTCTGAAGAAGATGTGTTGCTTTCTTCGTAGAAAAGGAAGATAGCCCAGCAGTGGAAGTCCCCAGGGCCCCGGCGGCGACAACTCAGTCGCTCGCTTGTGTTTCCGGGTGTTCCGCACCCAGAGAGCTACCGCCACCAAAATTAAAGCGCTGACCAGTGTTGTGAAAATAGCTCCAGCATCTTGTTCCTGAAAAACACCCGCGTATTTTCTTTTTTTTTTTTTCTTTTAGGGGAGAGGGTGGGAGGGTTCACTGCCGTCGCCATATTCTTTTTAACGATAATATTTACCAGGGCGTTTCTGAAAACCGGAGCCGAGTTTTACGGCTCAAGTAAATGAACTGAGCATCGCAAAACGCTCAAACTCCGTGAGAATCTGACGCTAACGGATTGGATAGAACGCGAAAGTTTGAGAACATAGTGCGTAAACTGGATCAAAAGATAATTGAGAAAAACGAATTTTCTCTATGAGCCGGCGTCCAGCTAAGCCTAATATCGTCAAAACAAGAAGTAACACTGTGGGCGAATGTAGTATCTATTTCAGTGAAATAAAAACGTGTCAGCAAGAACGATAACAATATCTTTTATCTTGTTTAGAAGTTTTTAACTGAGAATGTATTTTCTTATATCAAGTTTACTTATGCCTAAATTTACTTTTTCATTGAATTTAAAGTTCTATATAAAGTATTTCGCGAACATAAATGAAACTAAAGTGGTACCAGTCGATAGCACACGTATAGGTCTACAGGCATATAGTAAGTAATAAGCAAAATGCATAATAAATTCTAAGATACAAGGCTCCAAACATGTCACCAAACCGTCAACAATGATATATTTTGACTTTTATATTTCTGGCATTAAATGTTCTAAAGCGGTTTAGTTTAAAAAAAGAAAGGGTAACGAGTCATACATTTACAAGAAAAAGTACTGTAAGTTTTCGTTTTTACCCATTTGTAACAACTGACAGAACTGGGTACAAAAATCAAGCTGCCTTGACATAGCATCTCATTCAGCTACACTTCAAAATTTTTGTGGTGAGATACAATTTTTTTATATCATAGTAAAGAGTGGTTTTGTTCATTGATAACATGGGGCTATAATATATATTTTTTTAGCAAAATCAAAACACCTACCCCAACACGCGTGTTCGAGTTTAAATACGACCACCCTATAAATGTGATCACAAATAGATTTGACTATACAGTCTGCACATTAATCTGTTCATGTTATATTATATATATATATATATATATATATATATATATATATATATATATATATATATATATATATATATGAGTATACATACACAGATACATATTAATGGGTCATTATAAAGAAAAAAAGAACATCACAACACAACTCGCTGCGAGTCAAGAGTCTTCCTTTCCCCGAGCATAAATCACACTCTGCACGCGCATGACGCTACGTTCTTATCGCATAACATACATATAACGCTGTCGCGGTAGTGGCCTCGTTTCTGCATGCCACACACATTCACTACGCCGTTCATACTTTTCCGGCAATGCACTCCACGGGCTCCTGCACATACTCGCACCTCAATTATACATCGTTTCACACTTACCGCTCATTCACACTGGAAGCGGATCCGCGTTCGCAAAGCGGTTACGAACGCGCTTGTATAAAAATCCAGTACAATTCCACGCGCACTCGATGACATGAAGTGCGCGTGCAATTGTACTGGATCCTTATACAACCGCGTTCGCAACCGCTTTGCGAACGCGGATCCGCTTCCAGTGTGAATGAGCGGTTAGTGCGACACTAGGAGCAGAAGGAGTCAATCAAGCGGCTTCGAAAGTGCACCGTCATGACGCTGGTCTAACTATGCAGTAAAATCCACTAAAAACCTCTGCTATGACCCCCCCCTCCCCTCCCCTCCCCCCTCCCCCCCCCCCCCCCCCCCACACACACACACACACCCTCGAGCGTCGCCGGAAACATACGATTAAATAGACACGAAAGAAGGTTACAGCAAAAGTCACCGCGTTCAAGGCACCGTCTCTTTAAAGCCAAGCGTGTTTTACATTGGACCATACATACCCCAGTAAGTCGAATCCGCTTCAGGCGATCCATCCTGTAGCAGATGTAGGTAGGAATACGTTCGTTGAACACAGTAACATCAGCGCACCGCCTGAGCTAGCGTCGGTGCTTATGATAGTAAACGGTGACTTTCGCACCTTGGCGACTGTCCTCGTGGACTCAGTGCCAGACGGAATTAGTTGTTTGTTCCGGATTATTTTGTCAATATTATTTTTCTTTCTTTCCCAGCCGACACATGTACTTTGATAGACACGAGGCGCGCGGCGTGTCGAGCGACCTTGGTCAGAGATCTCAATTGTTCCCAGACGGTTGTTGCCTCGTTTGGCGAGGAAGTTTATCGGGTGTTTGCCGTATTTCTACGACTCTGCAAGATTGTTTTTTCTATGTTGTTTATAATGACAAGTCGTGGCGACTTTTGTGAAGGACGCGATATGTTAATGGTAATTTTTACGCGATAGAAGCGTTTTTTTTCTGAGATAACAGAGCAGGCACTTGTCAATGTGTGCTGTGTGTGATAATTTTTACGTGAGGACTAGGTGCCAGGTACCGACTGTGCGCCGTGGCCGGACTACCAGGTGTAAACTATTGAAAGAAAAAGATTTAATCAAAATTCGTTTTTGTGGATTATAAATACGGTACCCACTTCCTCTGTTATTTCCTCAGACCTTTGAGAAAAAAAAAAAAGAAAAATAAATAGAGTACACGGTTAAGTCAATCCCAGTATTAAAACGTTTTTCGACGTACATTTTTCAACAATCTGTTTCCGTGTCTCAGAAAGATTTGAAAGCCTTGGGTTACCGCATTACACGTTAAAATGATGCAAAAAAGAGATCGCTTATACAGGACATTTCTCTAATTAACACATAGCAATAAACTGGAATTTCTTAAAGAAATTCTGTAACAAAAGTCACTGCTCAGCTAAAGAAAGCTAACTCATCCTATTATAAGGAATTTTTTTATGATACCGATGGAGAACGTCGTGATGTTATGTGGAAAAACATTAATGAAGTTCTTAATCGTAATAGAAGGCCGAAAAGTATAGGTGACCTAAGCCTAAACGATATAACAGTCTCTGTAGCCTATCTGGCATCGCATATTAATAACCACTTTTGTAAATGCAGCATCTAGACCTCACAGCGACAGCGTCTTATTGATATTTCGCCATATAGGTGACAGCATTTTCTTTGAGCCTACAAATAAGCAAGATGTATTTAATATTTTTATGGGACTAAGAATAGCAAGAGCTGTACCATCAATGTCTTTCAAATTAAGCCCATTAAGTTCGTAATGAATATTATTGCACCACACTTGGCATAAGTATTTTACTTACCTTTAAACTCTGGCCTGTTTCCGCAAAATATTAAACTAGCTAAAGTGTCTGTTATTTTTAAGGGAGGTGATAAAATCTTGCTAAACAACTGCAGACCTATATTGGTTCTTCCTAGTTTTTTTTCAAGGGGCTTTAAAAAAAGTTTTTTAAACGTCCTGAGAATTTTTTTTTGCAACATTCTGTACGAACGGATCTCCACTTTGGTTTTGAAAAAGAGAAATCCACGGAGTCGGCTTTATTATTAGAAAAATATTTATAATACAAAATATTGAAAAGCGACCTCTAACGCTTATTGTGTTTCCTGATTTCTGAAAGCCTTTGATTGCCTTAGTCATAAAAACTTTATTCCTAAGCTAAATAATTATGATGTTCGCGGCATACCAAAATATTGTCGATAAACATTCCTTGTTTTTTAACATCGTGCGTGGTGTTCCACAGGGCAGTATACTTGGGCCTCTTTTATTTCATGTTTATACAGATAATATTCCAAATATTGGCAATCAAGCTCAGTTAATAATTTATGCAGCCGACACCAGCCTATTTGTTCCTGACGGCGATGCTGAATGATGCTCATTAGAGGGGCGAATTAAGCCTTAAAATACATTTTTATGCGTTCTGAAGTTAACGCACTAGAAATTAACAAATTAATGTCTAAAGAAATTTTATTTTGTCAAGTGAATAAGGCGTTGCATTTTTTAATCCGCCTCAAAATCGAAATGACGCCAACTGAACTAGTGGAGCACCATCAAACACTAGGGATATATTTTTCTGACCACTTGCTATGGAACTTTCATATTGATTACTTATTTAAACAGCTGTTTCAAGTAGTTGGTGTGATTGCTGGGTGCTGCAACTTTTTACCAGTTAATATTAAGCTTAAAGGTTCTTCTTCTTTGTTTAATTTTCACTTAACCTACTGCCCTTGGGTACGGGTAACTACTACACAATCAAAGTTAAATAACATTCTACTTCTTCAAACGGAACTGTTGCGTTATTTAGCAAATGTTCCGTACGATTCTCATTCAGACCCTTTATTTTCTAGATGCAAATTAATTCGCATCGAAAACGTGTATGAATATCGCCTATTTCATTCCTTTCGTTCCTGGTCTACAGCATTTATATATACAGGGTGTTTTCTTTTTTTTTTTTTTTTAGAGATTAACAGAATCTAAAAAAAAAAAAAATATGAAAGCTAGATTATTGCGGTCTGCGCAGGTGAATTTTACAGCCAGGGGGAGATATATAGGGGGCTAATCCTAACGATCACTCTGCTAATTAGTGAAAATTCGTTAATTAACTTTTTAATTAATGAAATTATGTAAATGGTTCCAATTAGAACCTTGCTAAGCATAGTCCAAAGCCCCTAAATCAGTGATTTTCTGAAAGACTTTGAGCGCGTAAGGAGTGTAGTAGAGCAGTAAAGTTACCACTTGTGGAGCAGGTACAAGGCTAGCGGTTGCTGTAAGGCGCCCGCACAATTTTTCCGTCTCTTATCTAGCCCCAGACTTGTACCTGCTTCACGAGTGGTAACTTTAGTGCACAACTACGCTTCTCACGCGCTCAATGTCTTTCTGAAAACGACTGATTTAGTGGTTTTCCATGACGCTGAGAAAGTTTCTAATTGGTTCTAAGATTCTAATATATATATATATATAATACATAATATGTATATGTATATATCATACATAATATATATTGTGTTCCACTTCCCAAATACCTAGGTACGAGAGCATCATCAACAGTCGTCGTCCAGAAAAATGGCAGGTCCCTCGATACAGCACCAAATTATATTTTACAACCCCTCCATTACAACCTCCAAACAGTTCTAAATAGATTTTCATTTAATGAGGGAGAAAGATATATGTCTCAGTTCAAAAAATGTTTTACGCTCACGTTTGTTCTAGTTTTTCGTGGTTTCATGTTTTTGACGTATTTTATATTTTGTTATTGTATTGATGTTAATAATGTATAATGTATGACGTGATGTTTGCTTCTTTTTTTTATTCTTTCCTCGGAGCTGCTGCCCATGTAACAGGCTCCCGGACCCCGTCGAACACATCAAGCTGCTTTTAGCAGCTTTTTGTCCTGGAGACCGCTCTAGCTCTTTGCCGGCACGTCTCAAGTGTGTTTCCACAGACCTCTGCCCTATCCTCCCCCTCCCCTTTTTTTTTTTTTGTCTGTTCGTATTCTTACGATTTTCGCACCATTACATCATCGCCATTTATACATGCTCATGAGTGTTCAACCTTGTATTGTGCGGCGTCGCAGATCTCTACGGCATGGGCCATCGGCCTTTCTGCGGCGTCGCGGCTGTCCTGAGCCGGAATAAATATTATTATTATTCTGTCTGGAAAATGAAGCCTTGAACTGGTAAAGGTGTTTTAAACGAGCAGAAGAAACACTTATATGATTAGCACGCCAATGCGAAAAACACTGAATAAATCGTCCAGCCCCCCCCCCCCCCCCCCCTTTCCAACTCTTATAGTCCTCCCGCAAGAGACAAACTGACAATTAGTAACGCGAGCGGAAAATGGGGTTTACTTTTAGAGACATTTGCTGCGACCGGCATGGGTCGGAATGCATGTGAGTTCAAGTGTCGTTCCAATAACAAACGAGCCACCACGGCACTGTTACATGTTAGACGTGTGAATGACCATGTTATATTTTATTAATTTTATTTCTTGCAAAGAAAACATTTCTGGCACCTGAGCCGTGTTGGTGATCAATGTGATATGTTGGAAACACCCTCGAAAACCGTAGTCCAGTTGCCGGTTATTTTTATTTTTATTCGCCTTAGCTAGCTAGCGTACTGCGTAGCTTTTCTTTTTGAGATTGTTTCTCAATAGGAAGAAAAACATTATCTATGGTCATATTTCGAAGGCAAGGCCGTTATCTACTTGAGTTGCCATGCTGTACTGAGCTACTTACGCATGGAGATAAGGGAAACGGTCTCTTGTTTACCACAAGATAACAGCAATCACCAACAACTGCTTCTGGCTCTCCAGTCATTTTCTGCAGCTTCTGCTCGTTTTGGGTGCAGCTCTTATTTCTTCCGATTTCGGATTTGAGTTGTGGTAATCTTTGTAGCAATTTCGCTCTACTAATCATCGCCCCCTATCTCCCAGGGAGAGACACAATACAGCGAGAAGACAGCGAATGGGCTTACTGTACGTTCCGGTTGCCCGTCCTCGCGAGCCTACACTCCGGGCCCGCAGGCCCTGGTTGACGCTCGTCGTTCAGAACTCGCAGTCGGAGTCCCTGTCCAAACCTGCGGATCGTCCTTCCCAAGCCAGCGCTGCTTCGGAAGCTGTTCCGGACTATCACAGCCCGAGTCTCGCTGCGGAACCATTCCGGGATCGTCATGACCTAGGCCGGAATGACCAGGGCTCGCCGTTCCCTCCGGTCCTGGTCAGAACCTCGCTGGTGGACCGCTCCAGGGTTCGCCATGGGCCAGACACCAGACGGGCTCCGGCGTTCCTGCCTGGCCCCAGCCTCGCGCAGCACGCTGCGTTCTGCGTCGTCTCGTGTCTCCGGCCGACCGCGTGTCACGTGCCTTCCGCCCGTCGTCCTTCACCCTCGTCTCCCACAGAGTACATACTTTGTTTAGAGTGGTTCGCCAGCTTTCTGGTCCGGACCGACCTAGGAAGATGTCGGTATCGCTCAGACGGCCTGCCGATTGCCAATCCTGTTTTCGATACCTAGCTGTCCACATACGAGAGCAAGTTGGAAACCACTGACTTATTTTACAGTGAGAGATGTTAGTGCACCTTTTCTCTTAAATCTGGCGGCGTTCGTAAGCGAAAACCCACGTGATCATGGCACGCACACCGCCGTATCGCCGTCGTTGGCGTGCAGTCATGTACCACTACCGCGTGACGCACGTTAAAGACCCGAGACTAGCGGTTGCAACGCACTGCCAAAATTGTTCATCTATAGCTGAG